CAGATACTTTATCGTTTACATTTACACCAGAAACTGAACCATCTATATTACATCAGATACCATATCATTTACATTACACAATCAACAATATCATTTACATCACACCATATACTATATCACTTACATTACACCAGATACTATATCATTTATATCACACCAGATACTATATCACTTACATTACACCAGATACTATAAGCTATCATTTACAATCACTACAATATTCTATAGTAATTACATCACAGCAGATACTCCATCATTTACATTACACCAGCAACTATATCATTTCATTACACCATCAACTATATCATTTACATTACGCCATCAACTATATCATTTACATTACACCATCAAAACTATATAATTTACATTACACCATGAACTATATCATTTACATTTTCAAATTAGTTAATTTCATTTTTTACATATCAGTATATATCATTTAATCCACTAGATATATAAAATTTTCATTACATATCAGATTATTTACCCAACGGTATATAACATGTACACACTCAAATTACTATTTAATTTTACCATAACCACCAGATACTATATAATTTTACATTATAGTTATATCATTTAATCAGATTTACGTTATTCATTTAATCACACCAGATTAATCATACATCAATTTACTATTTAATTTTACATACAACCAGTACTATATATTTACCTTCAGTCATTTTACTCACATAGATACTATTTTCATTTTACAACACCCAGTACCTTATATTCATATGCTAATTTCACAAACAGATTACTATTTAATTTTTACCATTTACACCAGTCTACTATATTAATTTACATTACATCAGATACTATTATCATTTACATCACACCAGATACGTTATTCATTTACATCACACCAGATTACTATATCATTTTACATCACACTTAGATACCCATATATTCATATACATCACAACAGATACTATTTTATTTTACAATGCAAAAGATACCCTTATATCATTTACAGTCACACCAATACTATATCATTTACATACGACCAAATTATACTATATTCAATTACTATTACATCAATATTTACTATATCATTTATATCACACCAGATACGTTTTTCATCTTAAATCCACACCATATACTATTATTCTTTACATCACGCCAGAATTAATATATTCATTTACATAATATCAGATTACTATTTAAGTTAAACCATACACCATTTACCTATGTTCAATTTACATCACATTTCAGATACTATATCATTTACATCACACCAGATTACGTTATCATTTACATACATCATATAGCTTTATTTTACAATCACCACCAACATCTTACATTCACTTACTCATTACCAGATACTATATTCATTTACATCAACATCAGATACCTACTAATCATTTACCATCAACCATTTACTTTATCAATTTACATTTAACACGAAGATACTATTTACTTTACCATTACACAAGATATTATTTCATTTTTTACCCACACCATACCACCTATATCATTTACATCAACACCCCAGATACTTATCATTCACATCACGCCAAATACGATATTATTTACATAACACCAATATTACTATATCAATTAAAATCACACCAAGTAACTATTATTCATTTACATTTACACAAAATACTATATTATTTACATACACCAAGATACTTATTTCTTTTTATAACGCACCACCATTCACTATATCACTTACATCATACCGAAACAATATCTTTACATCCACATTCAGATACTATTTCATTTACATCACATCAGATACTATATCATTTACATTACACAGATACTATATCATTTCATCACACCATATCCTTATCATTATACTATTTCGTTTATATTACACAAGATATTTATATCATTTTACATCACGCCAAATACTTTATCATTTACATTACACCAGATACTATATCATTTACATCACATCACGATACTATATCATTTACATCACACCATATTACTTTATCATTTACAGTACACAAGATTACTATTCTTTTTACATTACACAAAAAATATTGTTTCATTATTCATCACATCAGATACTATATCATTTACATCACACTATATACTTTATCATTTACATCACACCCATACTATATCATTATAACATCACATCAGATACTATATCATTTACATCACACCATATACTATATCAATTACATCACTCAAAACTATATACTCTACGTTACTCAATTGGATTGGTCAACATACAATTGTCACGTTTTTCTTTGATATATTAAGGATTGAATGCAAGCAAAGAAAGGAGGAGTCCGAACACCGGTTTCAGGAAAGAGTTCGACTCTCTATCAGATATAGACAGGCAGACGCCAGAAGAAGGAAATAGGAGCCGCATGTCGTCCCAAAGAGCCATTAGACCGAATGTCAACCAGAGCAAGAAGCTCACTGGCTGCTTCCTCCTCCTCAGAGTCTGTCGACGAGGGCAATAAAACGCCCTCAAGGTCGGCAGCTCTCATTAAATTTTAAACCCGGCCCCTCCCGACACTCCCTTTTAATAGTAAGCCCATACATTTTTGCTATTGTCACGTGATAGGAAGTTTTTTTTTCAAAAAGACTACAAAATTAAACAATTAAATCTCCTTTTCCCAAATCATTTTTCATTTTTAATGTAAAACTTTCTTTTTACATTTAATTATCAGATGACATTTTTTTTATATATTCGTTTTTCAGCCTTTACTTTTGTGATACTTCTATACGAATTTCAAATCATATTGTTTGTAACATATGTCCATTGCCAATTTATTCATTGCCAATTTTTTTAGTTTGTTTTTACTTTCTTCATTTTCAAAATTATGCTTTTGGGAAACAAAGGTTAATATCATTTCTCCCGTAGTCTTGATAAATTTTCAAATTATCAAATTTTGTGAAATTTCAACACAATTGTTATATTTTCAGCACTATTTTCAGAGACAATACATTTTCGATATATTATTTGATCTAAATGATTAACTTTACTTAACATCTTTGTTTTAAAATCTTTTTAACAACCTGACCGTGATCTGCCTTGAACAAAAAAATACATAAAACCACAAAAGCAAGTATCAAATCTACACTCTGACCTTGATTTATCAACGTCAAGTATGATGATACTTACCAAAAAATCTCATCTCATTTATCATCCAATCATTCATTGTATTCATCAAAAACTCCAAGAAACAAGGCATTGGTCTTACGTTTAAAAAAACTCTAAACCTTTAAAAAATGAATTTCTTGTCATACCATATGTGTACATTACAATCACTAATTGTTATACTTTCTAAGTTTTTATTCATTTTCCCTTTTTTAAAAATCTGTTAGTCCAGAAAGCGCACCTAGATCATTAAGTATTGTTTTTGGACATTCTCTCATCTTTAGGCAACAAGGAAATATTTCCGGCTTACACACTATACATACCTATATAAACTGTTTTTATACATTAAAGTTAAAAATTTACACTTTTTTGATTAATTCATCATAATAATATTTTGTTAACAACCGGACCAGGATGAATATCATCTGCCTTGAACAAAAAAATACATAAAACCACTAAAACAAGTATCAAATCTACACTTTGACCTTGATTTATCAACGTCAAGTATGATGATACTTACCAAAAAAAATTCATTTCATTTTTATCATCCAATCATTCATGTATTCATCATTCCCCCCCACCCCCAGAAAAAAAAACAAAAAAAACAAGGCATTGGTCACTTACTTACAGTTATAAGAAAACTTTAATTTTTTTTTTAAATACATATCTTAACATACCCTACGTGTACATTACAATCCCTGATTTTTTTTCTAAGTTTCTATTATTTCATTTTTTGAAATCTGGCTTGTAAGTTAACCTAAAAATCATTAAGTATATTTTTTGGACATTATCATCTGAGCAACAAAGAAATATTTATGATTTACAATATACACAACATTTAAACTGATTTTTTTTACAAATAATTTTTTACACATTTTTGATAATTCATTCATTATTCTGTTATAGCAATAACTTTTTTTTCATTTGTATTAACAGTTAAAAAACAATATGGTTATAAATATCATTGATATATAATTATAAGTTTAATTTTATAATTATTTTTAATGACTATTCACGTGACATGGCTCCGATATTTTAAAGGCGTAAAGACCCTTTGGCCTGCTGTTATAGGGATGTTGTCGGCTTTGGTTTTTTGCATTTTTTGGCATTTTTGTTTCAAATCTTTCAAAACTTCCCTCTCAAACAGATTGCACATTTGATATTATCACTTAAAATAGGCATATTAGTAAAATAAATACATCTACAGTTTATTTTACACATTCTCCTTATACTTGCATATACAAATAAAAACAATTTTGGATCACAAAGCATACTGCACTTGTTGTTGTTGTTTTACTACCATTTTAACTTCTCGGGAATATAAATCATCGTATCAAGTAATCGAGAATCATAGATCAGAGACCCGTTGTCAAAATTATAAACGTATGTCAGGATACAATTCTTTAGTGTGTTGAAAATTTCAAACATTTACCAATTGAATAGTTCTAAAGCATTTTATGCTTTAATGGTATCATAGTTTTGGGACCTTTCTGTTGAAATGTGTTAAGAGTTAAATCGTTTACATTTATATGCCCATGCGTTAACTGGAATGCAGGTATTAGTTACCCCCACACCAGAGCATGCCCATTGAATGTGTCAATTTTTTGTTTTGGTTTTTACTTGTAGTGATGACAGAGAAAGGGAAAATGATAGAAATATCATATTCAGTGTTCGTTCATTGGGGTTTTATATGTGACAATAGGGAACGTGGTTTTATTGTTTGACTATGATACAAAGGAGAATATAGCACGACCTTGCAAACTGATTCATAATCTGCACTGTTTGTTTTATTTTTCACTCAGGACATATTTTTTGAAAACAATATAAATGGTATTGTCTAGATTGAAAAATTCAGTTCGTGTCCATTTTAGAAAATTGAACGGGGTAATGTTTAAAACTTTTATTCATTATTGTAATAATTAATGTCATTTACCTGCTTCAAAGCAGCTGTCTTTGCGGTGGTCATTTGTGGTAGTTATTACACGGCAGTTCGGAACCACGTGAGAGTTTGGGAGTTTTAATTCATTGGTTACTCTGCTCTAAAAAGTCCTTTAAAATAAAAACATATATTGTCCCTATAATTATATATATTGCCCAATCGTAAAAAATATTTCACGATGCTTGATGTGCTTACTAAAGTTTTTTAAAGGGGGGTTTTACGGCGTATGCTAGGGTTATCCTGTATTCGAATTAGACATTATTATCAGCCAGATTTAAAATTTAACCAAGCAATTTTTATAAAAACCTACATTTTATAAACATTTTACTATTATGTAAGCCAATTTGATGTCACATGGGTATTTCGATAATATATCATCCTGGAAATGAATATCACCCTGCAATATTTCCCAGGGGCAAGTAATTATATGATTTATAAAAAGTAATGTTCTTATTCTTTCCCCCTATAAAGTTCAAATGATGAATGACTTCGGTTTGCGGTTGAAAAAGTTAACATTTTTAAAAAATTAGTTTCGGTTATGATAAAAAGATAACACATTCAAGTCTCTAGGGTTTAAAAGATCTTCTTAGCAATCCCTTTACCTCGGTGGGAATTGGCATTTAAGCAAACCCTTAATATTTAGCCTTGTCTCAGGTTGCTAATATTATATAAATTATGCTTGTAGTTCAAGAAATACAAGAAGCCTATAGGAGAGCCGGTGGCATAAAGTTAATGGCGTCTGCCGATCAGCATAACGCTTGTTGGTTCGAATCATGCAGGGATCAAGACCAAGTTCTGTCTTATATCACAGACTGTCGTTAGTTCCGACAAAAAGGTTCAAAAATGATAAATATAATTTTGCTAGAATTGTTTCAAATCTTAGCTTAAATAAATCTGATGGAAACTGGACAAATGGTAAAAATGTGGGACTTGGCATATTTACCACCAATAAATGTCCGGAGGGTATGCTCTTCCTCTTGGCTGGACCCGTAAACCATACTTGCATCAAGATATGACGTAATCTCGTTAATCTGATTCTCCACTTCACTATCTTATAATTATAATAGATTCAATTTAAACATACATGTACAAATAAATAATGATTTGAAATACAGCAGTAAACATTTATGCGAAATACAACTGCATGCGTAAAGTGTTTTTGAAACAAAAAACTGTACCTCATTTCTTTTTTTTCCGTATTTTGGGTTTTTTGAATTTTGGGTTCAAAGTCACAAAGGGCAAAAAGTATAGGTATTTTTTAAACAAAGCTTTAAAGGTGGGAAAACCCCTTTGGAATTTTTGGCCCGGACGAAAGGCCATTGTAAAACCCTTTGGGCGTTTTTGTAAATTAGCACATGAAAAAACCAAACTCCCTATGGGTTCCCAAAAACCCCAGCGGTGGGGGCAAGTGTTTTTTAAGTCAACGAAACCCTTAAACCAAACCCGGGCCCCCGGGCCTACACTCCCCCTTTTTTTCTTAAATTTTACAATGTTTCCCCAAAAATAAAAAACCCTTTAGAAATTTATATCATCCCTTACTATTTTTCAAAAACACATTTAAACCCTGAAGAAACAGCAAAAGAATTTACGGGGCTTTATCCAAATTTTAGGGTCATGTGAAACTACTAGTTACAGTGTCGCATTGTATAACCAACGAATGTTTATTGAGAGACCGAGTAAAATTAATTTTGAATAAAAACTATGTAGAAATAGTCGTTTGGTACACATGAAACCTATTAATTAAGTAAACGGCGTCTAAAATGAAAAAAAAATGATTCGATGTCAGCCAGGGTTACTGATGATTGCGAATCTCCAGCTAGGCCGATTAGAACAATATTATTCAAGTTGTCAAAAGTTCGAGATTTCAATTGATCTATTTGAGCCAGGTCATCGGTGTAATTATCAGCGTTTAGAGATGATATTTAGCACTTGATATATAGTTTACTTTAGCATGACTCTGAAATTTGACCTTAATGAACTTGTGAAAATTAGAAAAATTGGAATCCTGGTACCTATAAGGTATTTTTTTCTTCTAAAATTGCTTTGTTACACTACCGATATATTGTTGGCCCCCTTTAAAAAGACCATTTAATAGAAAAAGATTTTTCTTTTTAAAAAAAACGGGTTTTAAATAATAATTTAAAAAAATTTTGATTTTCTACAAATTTAAATTTAAAATTTTTACGTCACCCTTGAAAAAAATGTGAAACCCTGCCGGGCCCCCAAACAATAATTTTGTGCGAAAAAATTTTTCCCTTGGGTCTTCAAAAAGGGAACCGGGGGGGCCCAAAATTTTTTTTAAAAAGTATAAAAAATTTTATGGATTAAACCCTTACCCTTTTATTGCATTAACCGACACAAATTTAAACATGACGGGTTTTGCCCCAAACTGATTTTTCAAGCGGAAAAAAAAACCTTTTTTCAAAATGACCCAAAAAATATGCTTAAAAAAAAAATATAACTATAGAAAAATGATAAATGATACTTATAAAAGAACATTTTTTGGGAGGGCCAAAAATTTACGGCCCACGGGTTTTTCTTTCTTTTTTTCCCCAAATATTTTCCCATTTTTACAAAGTATTATTTGAGTTTTTAAAATGAAACCCAAAGAAAAAAGACAATCTTTTGAAAAATTTACCTAATTCAGCCAACCTGGGAAAACGAGGAAAAAGAACATAAATATAATTTCCCCCCGAAACGATTTAAAAACCAATATAATTTTGTTTTATGAGGCAAAAAAGGAAGTTAATATGATCCAAAAAAATGGGAAAAATTTTTGGGATTTCTTACAATTAAAATGGGTTTCCCGGGATTTTTTCGTTATAATGATATTAAACAGGTTACTTATTAGTTATAAAAAATTTTTGCAGGTTTTAAAAGGGCTTTTTTAAACCCGGGTTTTTCTTTTTTAAATTTTCAAAAAGTTTGATTATAAAAATTTATGTATTTGGTTTATTTAGCCTTTTTAAACAAGCTTAATTGCCAAAAATTTTTTATTTCCTATATTTAAAAAAAGAAAAAAAGGGAAAAAAAAAAAAATTTTATTAAAATTTACGATAATGTGGGAACATTTAGGTGACTGATTTGTGCCATGTATTTTTGCTTATCAAGGCACAGGCGAAAACACGAAAATACGAAAATCTTTTATCATTTTATTTGCAATTTGATTTTTATAATAATTTTATTGAATAATTATTTTATATATAAAATTTGTAAACTTACCTAGTCTTGTCAGGCTTCTTGCAACACTCTTTCCTATTCCGTACATGTCCTGAAAAACGTAAATGAAAAAGAATTTTAAAGGACAACTTTAAAGGCACATAATGCCTCAGAAACAAATTTGAGCCGTGTCATGACAAAACCAACATAATGGGTTTGCGACCAGCATGGATCCAGACCAGCCTGCGCATCCGCGCAGTCTGATCAGGATCCATGCTGTTCGCTGTCAGTTTCTCCACTTGTAATAGAGTTGGTAAGCGAACAGCATGGATCCTGATCAGACTGCGCGGATGCGCAGGCTGGTCTGGATCCATGCTGGTCGCAAACCCATTATGTTGGTTTTGTCATGACACGGCTCATATTTGTCTTTACTTCTTTAGAAAGGGAAAACATGAACTTTATTATAATAATTATGTATCACTATTATGTTAGATACTTGTAACTTGAAGAAAGAAGTGATAAATGTGAACTAACTTGTCGTTAAAGTAGCAAAATGTAAACAAAGTAGTAGTTTGACTTTCATACAACATACTAATTCACAATTATTGTACTTATTGACAAAATGAGACAGATGAAAAACAATGGTTCAGATAATAAGCCAATGAGTATATATTTGGTACTATAAAAGTACAACAAAATTAAAAAAGTTTTAGAGAAATAAAAATCAGAGCATTTCTGAGACATTATTGACCTTTAAAGAAAATATAGATATTAAGGGTCTGGCATGAGTTGACAGAAGAAATGTATTTTTAAAGAAACGGTTTCAGGAAAATGTTAAACTGTTAAATGAAATCTCAATACATTTTACCTTTTGCAACCAGGGCAGACCAAGATCATAGTGGTCTGCACTGTTCACTATTCAATCAGTATTTATTCTGAAATTTTCCCCTCAAATGATGAATGGTTTTGTCAAGATCAAAACACGGGCAGGTCCATTTTAGATATTTAGCGTGTACACATGTTTTCTTACCTTCTGGGGTTTTGGCAAGGTCATGATCAATGAACTGCAAGAAGTAAAATAAAGCTATCGAAATATCATGAGTGTTGTCCCCTTTCGGTGTTGGTGTACTGTGAACAGCGTTACTCACTCTACGAGCAGACGGTAAATTCCCGCCTTTAACGCTTTTTGATCGAATTTTAGATTTACCTGAAATTGAAACACATGTAAGGAAACGCTATTGTCCTGTTTTTTTTTCTTGCGCCCCGCCGAGCAAAAGTACGACATGGTACAAATTAGCCACCATAGTATTTATTGATAAAATATTTCTTCGAATTTTAGATTTACCTGAAATGAAACACATACTAGGTATAAACGCATTTTCCTGTTTTTCTCTGGCGCCCGCTGAGCAAAAATACGACATGGCACAAACTAGCCACAATAGTATTTATGAATAAAATATTTATTTTAATCAAATGCTTTAATACAACAATAAGAGTGGTTAAATCAAATTAAAAATTATATAATTATAAAAAGTACTAAAAGAAACTAAACAATACATTACCTGGTACCTAATAAATAATACACATCAAATCTGAAGACAGGTATTTAACATTTGAAATACTTCTTTTCTATTTTTAAGGTACATCTCAAGGCAAATTGTCCGCGTGTTATAAGATCTCGGACCATGGGTCTTATGTTCAATTGTCTTTCATGGCAGAAACACGTGACATTAGCATATGGACCGGAACGATTTAGTAATTACTGGTAAATTATCCAGAATTGCCTGTCAGGTGGACCAACCTCCAAGACATACACAAATATGCTTCAAATTGCGTAAACAAACAGACAAACAAACCTACAAACAATGAAAAGTACATACCGTCTTGATATGCGTTATTTTCAGGTAGCCTTATATGCTGGGCCCCTGCGAAACCCCAAGAGAAGTGTTCCTTGTTGTTACATGACCCGTCAATGGTTCTAAATTCTTTACCATCAACAAAGTTACTTTCCTTTGAACAATCAACAACTTGATTGCACGTAGGATCTTTTGCAGCTTTAAAGGCGGTTAGGTCTATATCTGCAAGGCTCCGTAGATTGTCCGAAGCCCCAGTACTATAAAAGAATGAGGTAAAATTGTAGTTAGAGGATCAAAATCTTCTAATTCCTAAATGAAATATTCAGTTAAGTGTTGAGACGATATTAAATGATAAACAACTATTTATACAATCTTGACTTTTCTCCAAAAATTATAAGCTATGGTCCTTGGATTGCCTTGTAAAGAAAAGCATGTTTTATAAGCATATATCTTTTTACATTTTGTTCAATGTGAAAATTACTTACTGGTCACATGTAAAGTTATAATATGGACTCCCTACAAACACAAACTCATAGAAACCATCGAAGGAAATCCTCTAAATTAATATAACAATGTCATTTTACATATAAAATCAATTCCCATAAAGAATATCATTTTCCTTTGTTATAGTATAACTTTGATTTACAATTTGTAGTATTGCACTTACAGAAAATGTAGTGCCACGCGCTCTGCATATTCTCTTTCATTTTGCTCCGCAAGCATCCGCGTTCTTTTGCTAGGTCGGTTAAATGCCCGTAAAGCATCATTTGTAGACCTCGAACCAGTATGGTCAGAATCTGAAAAAAATGAATCAAGAATAAATTAATAATTTGATCAAGTCAAGTCTAATATACGTTATATCATGTTCGAGATCACTTTTGCATGAATAAAATGCATGTATTTCATTTACAAATAAAAATGAAAAATAAGATATACTTATACAGTACAGATATATATAATATAAATTCTTTGATATTCATCAACTGTTATACGCCAGTTACATGTTTTATTGACAATAACGCACAGTACGATATCTCAGATAACGTACGCTTCTTTAGAAAAAGGGTACGATATTTCAAATAAAGCACAGTTATCTTGGTTTATGTATAACTATGACCGTAGACAAAAAACACACGGATCATTGAACTGTACCAACATTTAGGCTGAAAGGAAACCCGCATTTATTCAGATTGGGGATAGGTAATATGGTACTGGGGTTATGGCTTTTAGTTTAGAAAAAGTTTTGTCTGGTACATGAACGTACTCGTTTATAAATCTTCGTATCATTTTTCCTAAATGTAATTTGGTGCTAGCTATATAAGAGGCACTTCCACTATAATTTTTTCATGAGTAGCAATACTTGCAATATTATCCGTTTCAAGTCCCCAAGAAAATAAAAATAATCGCTTTTATTACATGCTTTTCGGTGGTTTATAGAAATATATCAGTGATATAAAACTGGTAATTTCACTGTTTGAAACAGTGAAATTACCACTTTGATAATTTCACTGTTTTGAATTTAAGCCCCTTACGTTGTTTCAGTGAAATACCAGCGTGCACAGTACTGGGTACCAACTTAATGACGTGACGTCGTAAATGACGTCACGTTGTATTATTATTTGGCGCGCTTTTCATTCAGTATTAGCTTTAATGTCTTTTTTAAACGTTTCTTTGCATGTAATAAAAAGAAAATTTGTTTAGTTTAGTGTAAGATTGAAATATATTTCACCTTGTGAACACCAAAAGTTCATATTTCACTCGTGGCTGTGCCACTCGTGAAATATACCTTTTGGTGCTCACTCGGTGAAATATATTCCGATCTTACACGGAACTAAACAAATATTCTCTATTTATGGAAATCAATCTTAAAATCCATCTTTTGACATGTCATTAAAACAAATCCTCAATGCTGATCAAACGCCAGTTGGGATAATACTAGCGCATCACAATTACTTACAAACTATTGATTGGCTCTTATGCACTGTGTTTACAATAAGAAAAACAAAAATCAGTAATTGACATGTACCATAAAAGTAACGGGGGTTTCGAGTGGGGTATTTATTCTATTAAGGGAAGCAAAATACAAATTCAAAGTTTATGTCTTAGCAAAACTCTCATTTCTGTTTATCATGCGATAAAACAGTCATAATATATCTAACTCGACTGGTTATGTAGAAAGATCATGGCCTGGAGCGATATCTAGAGTTTTCCGTAAGGCCGAGAACATTTTACGGCCTCGAACTTTTTCTGTAGCGAAAACCCTCGATGTCGTATTTCAACATAACAGTTTCGTCGCTATACTATAACTATTACTTAAACAGGACTGTCAAGTAATTTATTACGCACAAAAAAACGAATGCTTACATACAACTTCAAATATGACGTCAATAAACCAAATGACATCAGAAAATTACTTCAATTACTTCTCCGCTCAATGTAGTTTAGCGTATTTTTACCATATCTCTTTTTTGTTAGCATGTTAGAAAAGAAATAGATATTAATTTCCCTTGCATTGTAGTATAATAATGCTCGGTTTTTTTTTCGTTCAAGGCTTTGTAACTTTCTGCCTTCGTTATTATATTCCTGCGCATTTGAACTCAAACCGTGCAGTATTCTGCAACAGTGCACTCAAATCCTAAATAACAACTTATTCTTTAGATACGGCTGTATAAGGAAAAATTGGAGATACATTGTAATTAAGCTCATTGCTCGGGAGCGGTTTTTGTAACATAATATGCTACAACATTCTTTAAAAGTAAGACTGAAAAGATTTTAAGAAAATATATTAATGATATGTTTTGTATCCTTGCGTGCAGTTTCATTGTAACTGTTAAATAGTTTGTCAGTTGTGCAATGTATCCGGGTTTTTAAGTAATTAAATTTCTTTAAAGTGAATACATAGCGACAAAAACGCTCTTTAATGTTAGAAAATAGATTTGAATATAATGCGTATCTTAAATGTCTAGATATCAAAGCTAGATTGTTGTCTCACTACAGACATTTTCATATTGTTGTTAATCTCGGGTAACATTCCACATAATAACACAATATAAAAACATAATCATAATATTGGACCCCAAAGTACGTAACGCACTTTTGGGTCGGACCCCAATGTGCGTTTGACCCTAAAGTGCGGTGTTACATAGCCGTAATAAGTAGGAGATAACTTGATTATATGCTCGTTGAGATGTTTAGGACATAAATGTATATCTCATAAATATATATATTGAACCTTAAACAGGTTTATACAGCTATACTTTGAAACATATACGAGTATATCTCATAAATACCTGTATAATCATTATCACACATCTTTATAAAGGTATTTACGTTGATTAAATGCATTAGCAGGATATGAAAGAATTCTTGTCATAATGTTACAGATAATTGAATTTTAAACGCAGCAAAATCAGTTAATGGATGATGGATGTTTTTATAAACATTTATGAAAATCATTTTAATCCCTCAACCGCTTCGAAATTTAGCATGTCGATTAATTTCACAATTTTGTATTTTCTCAATTAAAAGTTGATCCTACATAATGTGTGTATATTAACCCTGACACTGCTGGAATAAAAAAAAAGATTAGCCTTTGTCACCAGTAGATGACAAAAGGACAGCTTTCACGTGTGTGCAGTTTAAAGGAACTCGGTGGCGTAGTTATTATGTCGCAACACCGCTTAATGTCGAACTTGCCGCAAGATGTCGCACTATTGCCGCTTAATGTCGCAACCGCCGCTTAATCTCGCAAAAGCGGCGGTGGTTGCGACATAAAGCGACAATGGTGAGACATGTAGCGGCAAATACGACATATATCGGTGCCACAAACTCCATTGAGATCTAGAGGCATAAAAACATAAAATTTTGAAAATCTTACAAATATCAAGTGAAGCAATGGAAACAAATGCGAATGATAACAAATAAATAAATACTCAGAATTTAATTGAAAATCGATTATATATAAAGTTATATGCAATTATTGGCTGAATTTGAGAGAAAATCAATGCAACGCTTTTCATTATTTCCTTTCACAATAACATGATTATTCTGGAAAGAACAGGATAAGGGAATGAGCTAAAAAAAGTGCACACAAGTTATAATTGTTACGTAAGGTCTTAATTAAGTGGTACACAAATCTCGGAAACATCATTCCCGTCATGTTAAAATAAACGCACCCTCAGTGGAGTCCCTTTTAGCCAAGTCCATACTGTTGGCTGACCAAATTACACTTTCATCTTAAAATTCGACAGACTGATTTATGATATTCAGTTGAGCAAGTCTTCATGCAATGAAATATCAATATTTAATTTTGCTTATTGATTTCAAAGCTTAATTACCTCATATTGCAAACTGACATTAGTTGATAAAGATACAGCGTTAATTTAGGAACAAAGAAGTAGATAAAGCGATTATAAAGAAAAAAAGATTTTTTTTATCTCGTCACCTTCATGTTCACGTCTCTGTTCGGCAATATATTGATCAGCAATACGCCTGGCAAGATTTAGATACTCTATCTCTTTTTTAATGTACGGATCGGGACCATTATCACCATCTTCACCCGCTTCTCTGAGGTTACCTCTCTGTGATTGTTCGTCATCATTGCCCGTCTCGCCCGCTTCTTTTATTTCTTGAAGGATCTCTAGAACACGTTTCAGGTCTATGTCTGGCAAATATCTGTGTTGTTGTGAATTCGGAAAACTGTACACTGAAGTAACTAAGCCATAAATGGCGAAGAATAGGATTGGTAGACGCATTTCTGAAATGAATGCAGGGTATTCGACTTGTTATAAAACAGGACGTAGCTAAGTTTACTAAAGTATCTGAGAATATAAATAAATGGTAATCTTCAACTGAAACAGAACAAGTGACTTAAGTCAAACACAAATCAAATACATAACAGGTATTTTAAGCCTCAGAAATAAAAATGAAAAATGAAATTTTGTTTCTCTAGGGAGGCCAAACATGTGCATTATAATATTACAATAAAATATAAGTTTGAACATAGTTTATTTCAAAAGAAGATACATTATGTTGTTAATATATTTACAATAAGTGGATACACGAATGAAAAAGGATTAGAGCCGAAAGCTATAAGTCTTAAAAAGGTCTTCTCCTACATATTTGTACAATGCAGTTAAATTTTGACAGTGTTTGAAGTATTGTTTGAAACAATGAAGTTAATTCTTAACATATTTAAAACGAAAAGAATATCGAAGATTTTATCTTTTGTTCAAAAGATCTTTTTTGAAAGAATATAAATAATTGAATAGAATTAGAAAGAAGGTAAAGAAGATTCATTCGTATAGGTCAAGGTGGCAGATTATTTTGTGAATCTTAGCTCATGGAAATCGGTTACTTTCACGTATATATATACATGAACTGCTTGTACAATTTTAGAATTTATATCATGGCTAAGATTCTGGTCTCCGTTTAGTAAGGTATAAAGTGTTATAGTACAGATGTTAGAAACAGCATCAAATAGTCTGAGTCTGATATCATTATAGAAGTGACATTCAAAGTCAAAGAAGAAGTGTGTGTGTGTGTGGGGGGGGGGGTACTTTCCAGGAGTCCACATTGACAATTTGGTGAGGGGGACATATTTTTTCTGAATAAGTGATGGTTTAAAGAGCTACATTCTGTTCGGAGCCGTGTGTACATGACTTGCCATTTTCTTTCACCTATGTAATAGTATTTTGGGCATTTTTTATTTTACCTTTAAGTTTCGTTTAAAAAATAAGAAAATGAGACGTCATAAAACACGAAGTAATTCGCGCAAATAATTTGTTAAAAAGATGGTTTAGCTATATGATCATTGAGCTGCTACAGGATTCCCAAAATTGAAAAAAAAAGAATGGGGAAAATTATAGCACGTTGCCTTTACTGTCCGCATATGCGGAAGTTTAGATAAATGTTAGAATTTTGAATATGTTAAAAGATAAAGAAGTTTTTGCTTTGAAATTTGGGGATATGTAAAATGATAGCTATCTTAAATAAATTTTTGCATAATCATTTTCATAATATATTTCTTTTTGTATTTATCATATCCGTATGTATGGGTGTATAATAGGAAGTTAACACTTGAGAATTTCGGAATATAAAACGAATAAAAATCTTCTTTTAATGTAACATACTCAACTATTACCGGATAATGGGTAACTGTTGGACATGACAGTTCGTATTTGATAAGTTTTAATTCATAATTTATACGAAATTGTACAAAAACATTCCAGGTTTATTTTGTACTTCATGCGTTGAAAGGAAAAGATACCGGAACGATAAAATATGAGACCCAGCGTGGCTAAACTAATCTGATTTATTTAAAGATATGATCACATATGTATACACGGGCAAATTAATGTAAATATAAGTGCTGTTCACATAGCTTTTCCTATTTGGCAATTATTTCAGGTAAAGTGATTTATTTTGTAATGAAGTCAAAATTCTACTTTTTTTACAATTTTATGATGGTTTAAGTGTTGATAGTTCGCACCCAGTCCATATCCTCGCCCCACCCCCACTCTGCGCCCCCGGATCAGTAAGCCAGGTTGAATTCACAAAATCACAGTTCAGCCACACGTCGTTCAGGACTGGCCAGGCTGGCAAAACATTGCCGAAATTAGTACCTTCCATTTTGCAAGCAACTGATAACTTCTGTACATGCAATATCAGAGGTACAAGGGAGGATTTCGTGTTTATTCACAACGAAAATTATCTTCACTGTCCGCAAATCGAACACGGGTTGCCCGGTTCAAACGCTCTACCTCCTGAACTTACCGGAATTTTTCTACTTGTATGACAATTTACTTTACATTGAGCGTTTCTAGCATATGATTATAATCACTTATTATAACATGCTTTAAATGCATCTTAAACATTATCAAACAAATGCTAGTCTTTTCTAAAGTCGGAAAATACTCATCTAGTTATTTTCATATAACTAGAAGAGCCAGTTTTCATATTACTGGAAAGCCATGGGGTAGACCTTTATGGCATTTTTGTTGATATAATTCGATGCCCTTTTTAAAAGTGCTTTTGCACCTCATCATATTATGTATGTCGAACATTTAAATAAAGTTGTGAGTTTCATTTAAGCATAACGTTAAACGTTGACTACGGAAGCGTATCAGGGCCTACAGTTGGCGAGATGTTTTGCGCTAAGTTAACTTATTCTTATTCGCAATGATAAGATGTTTTTGCATTTCTCAATAAAATTTACTGATAAAGAAGAAAAGCTTTTAGGCATTGCAACTGAATTTTTCTCGATTTGCTGGAAGTTTTTATCTCTTCGACAAAAATCCTATCGAAACTTCTTGATTTCACGACTTTGCTGAAATATTTAGTAAGACGCAAAGACGTTACTCGCATTGATAAAAAGCTCACGTAATTCAACAAAGTTTTTTTGAAATGATTAAAAACTTCTACGTATTACGTATTAATCATAACGTCTTCATGGAATGTTTTATGTATTACGTATTAATCATAACGTCTTCATGGAATGTTTAAGGTCAAAACGAGAAGAAACAAGTTGACATGACGTGAAACTTTCAGATAAGTAGAGGCCCTGATAAGCTTCCGTAGTTGACACCTAAATATGTATTCCTTCATAGTATAGTAAAAGTTAATTAAGTTTCTAGGCAAAAAATTCACGTTTACAAAAGACCTGTTAAAAATGAATATTTATTTGAAAGAATTAAAATAAAGGGGAGACCTATAGCTTATCAATGAATTACTTTTTAACGAGTATTTATTTATTTATATATATATATATTTATTTATTAATTTATTTATTAATTTATTTATTTATTTATTTATTTATTTATTTATTTATTTATTTATTTATTTACTGGTTTATTACATAATTTTAGATATCAAACTTAAAAAAGAGAGGAAAACTTAATGTTTGTAACATTTGAAATTTTTCTTTCACTAAAAGAATTCACTTTTTAAGGTATAATTTTAAGATATATAAATTGTTTCTCGCATTGTTATAATATTATAGAAATAAATAAATAAAAATTTTAAGAAATGAAATACATTTGTTTGAAACATTATATATTATAATAATAATAATCTGCGTTACAGACCTTCATCTAGCGTGAAAATACTCCAAAATGTTATATTGCACCAAATGAAAAATGCATTTTGTTGCAATATTTATATAATATTTGTGTGCACAACCCATGCAGCAACGTGCTGCATTAAGATAGTAATTTGATATACATCTAGTCTACCCATAAGTTATGCATATTTTATAGTTAAGAAAGAAACACTCATAAATCATCGTTTACATATTTATTGAAATATTAACAAATTTTAAAACTTTTCTTAGCAACCGATAAGCGTGTGCAACTTAACCAAAACCTGCTATATTTATGTAATGGATCGGTCCAGCTTTGAATTTGGAACAGTCCATTCAAAGTTTAAGGGATTTCGATATGAAAATGCGCAAATTGAGCTGCCAACAGGATAGAGCTAGGTCATAGAGTACGGATATGTGTAGGCTGGCCTGGCTCTCTATTCAGGTGGCAAGAGCTGATCACTTTTGGTTCAGCAGGTCAAGGGTAAAATGACCTATGGTGGAGAATATTGTAAAGTAGACAATTTAATTGTTGCAAAACACGGCGAAACTGTACACAGTGCAAGCCAAATCTTCATAAATAACAAAATTGAATTATGCTGTTGTATACGCAAAAAAAAAACCTGTTTGACTTGTTCCCCAACCGTCCCTGTACTCCCCCCCATCCCCTTAAACCAGCCTCAGTGTTAAGGTCTTGCTTTCATAAAACCATAAATTATTGCGTGTCATCTTCTCGTACTCATAAAAACGACTTCACAACGTTGCCATATTTTTGAATGACTTCACGAGAAATACTAATTAATTACACATGTATTTGGAAAATTCTTGATTTTTTGTTATCTATAACACTAAGCGTGCAATCTTTAGTTATTGAACAACTGTATATATTCCTTTTAATGATTTTTGTACGGAAGCTTATCAGGACCTCCACTTATCTAAAAGTTTCACGTCATGTCAACTTGTTTCTTCTCGTTTTGACCAAATACATTCCATGAAGACGTTATGATTAATACGTAATACATAAAACATTATACGTAATACATTGTACGTAGAAGTTTTTAATCATTGCAAGAAAGTTTTGTTGAATTACGTGAGCTATTTGCGAGTAACGTCTTTGCGTCTTACTAAATATTTCAGCAAAGTCGTGACGACAGGATTTTTGTCGAAGAGACAAAAGCTTCAAGCAAATCGAGAAAAATGCAGTTGCAACGTCTAAAAGCTTCTCATATTTGTCAGTTAATTTTATTGAGAAATGCAAAAACACCTTATCAATGCGAATAAAAATAAGTTGACTTAGCGCAAAACATCTTACCGACTGTAGGCCCTGATACGGTTCCGTAATTTTGTTTCTTTTTCAAGATCATGGTCAGACGCCACGGGTGTGCACTTTACAGGTCGCACGGGTAGAAATTGTAGCCGCCATTAGATTAAGGGTTGAAATACAAGTACACAGTGTTTGTTTGTTTGTTTCATTTTACGCCCTTTTCCCAACAGCACCTCAGTCATATAGGCGGGTAGTTTCCTAACCATCGTTCCTGGAGCGTTACACCAGTACTAGACTACCTTCCTCCGCGCTAAAGTACACAGTGTAAATAGGTAGACTGTTTAATTATAAAAGTACATATTGTTGGGTAAATATGATATATAACCAAGGGATTGTTTTCAGCTTGTGTTAACTTATTGTTATGAGTGTAACCTTTTTTATTTAGGTAAACTTACTATTTATAGCGTGAACTTATTAGTGTTAACCTACTGTAACAGTAATTGAAAGCTTATTGTTATAGTTCGAATATTTTTTGGTTAAGTGTTAACTTATTGTTTTAGTGAAACTTATTGTTTTAGTGTAAACTTACTGTTTTAGGTTAATGTAAACATATTTGTTTTAAGCGTTCAGTTATTCTTATAATACTGCACGTTTGTAACGTCATTTTTCATTGGATAATCGTGACGTTTATATAGTTTTATATACACGGCTGCTGTCGATTTATGAAGAAATCTAAAAAAAGATGCTTGCTGTATTATAAATTAGTTATAAAGATTGACAGGTACTATGGACGTATATAAACGGCTATTTGCAATATAACAGTTTATATAGGGCAATATAACCTATCAACGATCTTTATAACTAATAATATAAGTCAAAACCTAGAGTAGTTTGTGTAAACATATCGTATTTTTAGTTACCCTATTTTTGAGTGTTAACTTTTTTTCTTTTTGTGTAAACCTACTATTGTCAGTGTAAATTCGTTGTTAAAAAAGTCAATTTGTTGTAATAAGTGCACACTTATCGTTGTCAATGCAAACCTATTGTTATTGGTGTAAATTTATTGTTATCAACCTAAACCTATTGTTAATAATGTAAACCTATTGTTAAAAGTGTAAACAAGAGAACGGGGAATTCTTCAGATAGTCCAAATGTTGCGGGTTTGATTAAACTGAAATTAAAAAACAACACGCTAGTGTGCACGCTCTCATCTTCAATTTCACAAGAATTCAAGCTGCACGTATGCTTATAAGAACAGGGTTTAAGAATATCAAATCTTATAAAAGTGTATGATCAGTTAGACCTTTTAACCCTGTTAGCATGGTTCATATGAGCCGCGTCACGACAAAACCAACATAGTGCGTTTGCTACCAGCATGGATCCAGACCAGCCTGCGCATCCGTGCAGTCTGATCAGGATCCATGCTGTTCGCTGTCAGTTCCTCCACTTGTAATAGAGTTGGTAAGCGAACAGCATTGATCCTGATCAGACTGCGCGGATGCGCAGGCTGGTCTGGATCCATGCTGGTCGCAAACCCACTATGTTGTTTTATCGTGACGCGGCTCAATTATCATTTTTTGAATCAGTAATAAGGACCATAAGTGCTGTCGGGTTATTTTCTTCCTTGACAATTTTCTTACTATTCAAAACACTTTCTTAGTTATTCTTGTACCGTATAATTCTACGGTGCCGCTTTAAACTGTATAAAGCATTTTCACTTTCTTTCTGTGGTACAAAATGTATGTATGCAAATAATTAATAAGAGAGTGAAAAAATGGCATATACATTAAGTAATAATTTTTACAACTTATAATTGATCAAATTTCAGGATGTCATAATATATCAAAAGTATCTATAGGCGACAAAATAGAAAGTTTAAAGATATGGCTTAAATTTTCCGGGTATATACATGTAATTATACATAACAAGAAACCTTCTTTTATTGGAAATTGTAACTGTAAGTGCTGCGTCATGTAATAAGAAAGAACGATTTCGGCATTTAGTGAAACAAGTATGTCATAATATGACTAAGGAATGCATTTTGCAGAATTCAAATGAGCAAACGATTAAATTTTTAGGGAAAAACAGCAAATCCTTATAAGGCGACATGAATATGCCGGCTGATCCTCGTCTGCACTGGTCGTATGGGTATATACAATAGAAGTCGAAAACCTAAATGATTAAATGCTAGTTTTATAAGCCGCTGAATTTTTTAACCTACCTTTAACATTGTGTTTGTTTTGTTGTGTTTTTTTTGTTATTTTTTTGTGTTTTTGTTGTTTTTTTATTTTTTTTGTAATATTTTAATAAACATTTGTTGTCGTAAATTTATACATCAAAATCCCCTGCTCGTCTGGCTGTCGGCACGCGATAAAAGACTATTTCTATTTATAAAATAGTATTATAGCGTCTCATTGACCTTGTTCATATCCGGGTGTATTGTCTCGTTTAAAAAATCGCACTGGATACTCAGATCCGGGTTCTTTTTAGAAAATACACCAAATTATATCATTGTACTTTTGTACCATAGAATGATATCATATATCGGGATAGCAACACATTCATTCAAAAGTTTAATTTGTTAGTAGGTATTGACAAAGGATATACAAAAATTAATATGTTTTGTCCTCCTATCGAAAGTTCAGATGGTTAAACGATTTATATCAGAATACATAAAGAAAAGGAGGCAATGATGAAAGCACATCATATTTTGGGAGTTTTTCTTCTTATTTTTAACACGGAACTTAAAATGTTGAAAGAACGAAGTTATAAGCAAGCTGAATAGTTTTTTTCACATCTACGAATCCAAAGTCGCTGATGGTAATTGAACCCTGTGGTTTGAAGTGGGCGACAATTACTACACGGTAACAGATGTTAACAAAGAGGATATATGATAAAAAAAAGATTAATATGTAACAAAATACCGTATCCGTAACTACTTAGTATGATTTGGTGAAATAAATTTTTTCAGTCATTCATTTTGATTTGTAGAAATGGATCTTTTTTTGTTGAAATGAGTGTTCCATTATTTTCCACCCGGTCTTATTTGGTGAAATGAATATTTTGTAACATTCAATCTGATTTGGTAAATTAGACATTTTTAAACCGCTTTGTCTGATTCGGTGAATTGGTTGCTAGGGATGTTTTTATCGTTAGATTTATCGTAAATGAATTTTTTATCTTAAGATAAAAGTTTAACTTCCGGGTGGCTTTGTGATAATGACTTAAGATTTAACTTACGATTATCGTAAGTCAAAAACTTAAGATAAATCGTAAGATTTTTTGTAAAAATGTCTGCAGAATATAATTTCATTTTGTCTTTTACATAGTACATAATCATACAAAGTGTGATAATATATTGATAGAAATGCAAAAACAATACAAAATTCATCTGTTTTTAATAGATTTAAGCCACGTCAGGACAAAACCAACATAGTGCGTTTGCGACCAGCATGGATCCAGACCAGCCTGCGCATCCGCGCAGTCTGATCAGGATCCATGCTGTTCGCTTACAAACCCCATTACAAGTAGCGAAACTGATAGCGAACAGCATGGATCCTGATCAGACTGCACGGATGCGCAGGCTGGTCTGGATCCATGCTGGTCGCAAACGCACTATGTTGATTTTGTCACGACAGGGCTCAAATGTGTTATGATTCATTTTAAATCCTGCAATTATATTGGACAATAAATAATTCTCAAACACTTTAAGAAAAGTAGTAATGGTGCAGTATTTAATGTAGTAGATACCAAAATTAAGTTGTAGTTATGTTGAATGAGTAGAACATTTATGACAGAAAAAAAAATCGCCAAAAATCTAAGTATTATTATGGTGGCATATTTCTGCCACCAGATAACCATATAACTTACTACTTAATTAAGAGGTTAACTAGTTACGTAACTAGTTAACCTCTTAATTAACTAGTTAGGTATCAGGTTAACTAGTTACGTAACTAGTTAATCTCTTAATTAACTAGTAAGTTATCAGGTTAACTAGTTATGTATCACGTTAACCTCTTAATTAAGTAGTTAGTTATCAGGTTATCTGGTGGCAGAAATATGCAACCATATTTTATACTGGCCAATACGTTCAAACACAAATGTGTTTAACATTTCATATGGTGGCATATTTCTGCCACCAGATAATCTGATAACTTACTAGTTAATTAAGAGGTTAACTAGTTACGTAACTAGTTAACCTGATAACTATTTAGTTAATTAAGAGGTTAACTAGTTACGAAACATCATATTCATACTTAACTAATATAATAAATTTAAACTCTCCAAGTATTAATGTAACGAAACCTGAAATGTTTTGATAAATCAAAGTTCATGTTTGTTATTTTTGTTCAATTATGAATTAATCTTTGACCAATCAAAATGAATAAATTTGAAATTTCTGGACAATCTATTTCACAAAAACAAAAACTGTTCTCAAAAGCGTTTGTTTAATGATACGTCTTTGACTTAGATTTTCATTCAATGAGAATACGTAAATTCGAAAATTTCCGACAATCTTTTTTGCATAAACTTTCTTTATAAAGTAGCGCTTATTTCACCATTTCTTTAAACGTCTATCCGGACAAACATGCGCGTGCGTCAAAGGCTATTTTAGTTAGACGCTACATAAAGATTTTATAAATGTCAGTAAACATCGCTCCGATGTATTTAACTTCTTAAATTTTTCTAAACATCCTTCGTATAACTTGTTGACAAATGGGTTTTTTACTCTTGTTAAAGGCGGCAAAACAATAAGGCAAAAAATCGTTGTCGGCAGGATTCGAACCTGCGCGGGAAGATCCCAATGGATTTCTAGTCCATCGCCTTAACCACTCGGCCACGACAACTGCCTACGATTTAACAACTTAACATTGTAATGATCGTACTATTTAGGAATGCTATATTTATTTATTGGATACACGGATCGACAATTATGGTGGCATATTTCTGCCACCAGATAACCTGATAATTAACTAGTTAATTAAGAGGTTAACTAGTTACGTTACTAGTAAATTTTTTCAATAAAGAAAAGATCATAACGGGAAATAAATGCATGTTAGTGCCTGCAACTGCCATCCTTTTATTATATTATCATCTTAAAATTAAGAGGTTAACTAGTTACGTAACTAGTTAACATCTTAATTAACTAGTTAATTAATAGGTTAACTAGTTACCTATACCTAACTAGTTAACCTCTTAATTAACTAGTTAATTATCAGGTTAACTAGTTACGCAAATACCTAACTAGTTAACCTAATAATTAACTAGTTAATTATCAGGTTAACTAGTTACCTATACCTAACTAGTTAACCTAATAATTAACTAGTTAATTATCAAGTTAACTAGTTAGGTAACTAGTTAACTTGATAATTAACTAGTTAATTATTAGGTTAACTAGTTAGGTATTTATGTAACTAGTTAACCTATTAATTAACTAGTTAATTATCAGGTTAACTAGTTACGTAACTAGTTAACCTCTTAATATTAAGCTGACAATAAGAGATGGCAGTTGCGGGCACAAACATGCATTTATTTCCCGTTATGATCTTTTCTTTATTGAAAAAATTAACTAGTTACGTAACTAGTTTACCTGATAATTAACTAGTTAATTATCAGGTTAACTAGTTACGTAACTAGTTAACCTCTTAATTAACTAGTTTGTTATCAGGTTATCTGGTGGCAGAAATATGCCACCATAGACAATAACTATTTATGCAGTAACTTACGAACGACCGATTGGAACATTTCAACTCCATAAGTTCCCGATTTCATTTCTACAATTCAATCACAATTTTGACCTCTTGAATTAACGTTTCTAAAATACGGAATTCACAAATTCACGCTTCATGAATTCACGATTTTAACTTCACGAACTCACGATTTCAGCTTCATGAATTCAACTTCACGAATTCACGATTCAAGCTCCTTGAATTCATCATTTCGTGAAGGTGAAATCGTGAATTTATGAAGATGAAATCGTGAATTCATATCTATAGGTGATATATGTTATTTGCTGTAATATCTTGATATTATTTCTGTATAAACTTAAATATTGAATGAACCTTTTTTTTTAAACTGATATCTGTTACAGCTTTTTTATAATGAACACACAACAAGCAACACTCGTTGATCAAATTTAAGAAACCCATATTTTGCTTTTAAGTTGTTTAATGCGATTGTATTGAGCGTAGTGAATACATTCAAGATATAGAATAAAATAGCACAATATATAAGAAAAAGTCATCAAAAATGCAGCAAGATCTTCCACACACATTGTCTTGGAAAATCATTTTTTTATATATATTCAATTAAGAGTAAAGATACTCGTTTGTTAAGATGTCAACGTTATATCGAAACATATAAAAGTAGAATTTTTTTTCATTTTTTTTTTTTTTGCAAATGAAAATAAGTATTATACATATTTAAATTAGTCTGCTGATATTGAATGGGTGTATTTAAGTCCAAAACTAAGCGAGAGTTAAATCTTTTTTTCAGTCGAACAGCTGTGTAAGTCCAATTTCGAATCGAATCTTGATATTCCGTCTGTCAAAAATCAATTTCGAGATTTATCAATATAGTTCAGTCTACCAACTGCTTAAGTCCCAATCTCCACCTGTTCGTGTACGAATTCGACTACAGCTTACCCTGTAACAAAGTTAATGAAAATTTTTACAGTAACTTTAGAGTATATTCTTATCAATTAAGTATTAAGAAAAAAATATTAAATATAATGCATATTTTTCTTTTCTCACTTTCCGTATTTTTACTGTAGAAAATTATTTTTCATTACATTAAAACATATATATGCTCATTGTGTTGAAATATCTCATCTTAAATAAACGTATATATGTAAAACGAACATATTAATAACAATAAGTCATTTTGAACATGATTGCTATTTTATAACATATTATCAGTCTTGCAGTTTCTTTTCGGTAAGACCGATATATATTTATGTTATAACCATTACAAATGAATTAAATATGCATCAATTATATTCTATGTTTCTTGTCTTAGAATGCGGCAAGAATCGTGGGTTTATTCAGTACATGTATGTATATGACCTATTATTTGATGAATGTATATAATTTCACATAGGTTTAAAACTTTAAACATTTATCAAATATATATGTTTTGGATTACATTCATATCAAATGATACTATACATATATATGTAAGTTAAACACAACATTAATGTATTTATACTTGAAGAGTTTGTCGTTATGATCTTCTCCGATATTATCATCATGCTATGTTAAGTATTTCATATGTATATGCACTGTTCATTGTCTAGTATTATGCTGTTATCATGTCATCGTGGGCTTTTAAGCCTAATATGATTGAAATAAAACTATCTATCTATCTATCATATTTTTTCGTATTTTTACTAGTGTCTTGTCGGACTACTTTCATCTAAATTCAGCCGATACACGTCCGTTAAACTCACAACGAGTGTAAAATGTCCATGGGTAAAAATGTTGCAAGCAACTTTCGTTCCTCGTTGTGAGCACCCATTTAAGACGTGTGACACGATAAACAAGGTGAGTTTTTCATAATTTTTGAAGATAACAGACATTTATGTAAAAATATCGGAATGCAGTTATCTAGCGATGTGTTTTCCGAGTATGCACATGTAAAAATATTGCCTGTGGTGGACAATTTGATGGAAATACCGTGCGATGCAGTCACTCGGGGTAGCTAGAAAACTGGAGACAATTTCTCTCCGAACCAAATTTAACATTGAAAACGTCGATTCTGGTAAAGTTTTTGTGCATTCTAACCTGTAACAGATGCTCACAAGTCTTCAGCGTAAATTATTACCTGAAAGTCTTCATATAAACGAAGATATACCCTTTTTTGCTTTAATCCTCGTTGTGAGCACCATAACTTCGTTGTGAGCAAGACAAGCGCAGTGCGTGTCTGGTTTTATATGTAATTCAGATGGTGAAAAATAATTTTCAATCTACCAAAGCAATTAAAACGTTTTTGCACAGCAGCATTTCTTTGCAAGATGTTGTGCATACCCCGAAGGGAGGCATATTAATTTTGAACTGTCCGTCCGTCAGTCCGTCAATCTGTCCGAAAACTTTAACATTGGCCATAACTTACTTATTAGTAAACGGATTTAATTCATATTTGAACACAACACCCCTTAGCACAAGACCTTCCTACGGTTCTGTATTTTTTTTACCTTGACCCCTGAATGACCTTTACCTTGAAGGTCAAATTGTCCAAAAACATTTAAGAGTGGCCATAATGTCCTTATTAGTAAATCAATTTAATTCATATTCAGGTACAACACCTCTTTGGACAAGGCCTTCCAGCTGACCTATATTCGTTTGACCTTGATTCCTAAATGACCGTCACCTTGAAGGTCAAATTGTCCAAAAACTTAAAAATTGGTCATAACTTCCTTATTATACGGATTCTACTCATATTTGGACACAACACCCCTTTAGACAAGACCTTCAAACTGATCTGTATTTTTTTATCTTAACCCCTGAATGACCTTCTATCCAAAAACAAATACTGTTTCCAAATATGAATTAATTCCACTTACTTATAAGGAAGTTATGGCCAATGTTATAGTTTTCGGACGGATTGACGGACAGACGGACTGACAGTTCAAAACTAAAATGCCTCTCTTCGGGGTATGCACAACGTCTTTCAAAGAAATGCTGCTGTGCAAAAACGTTTTAATTGCTTTGGTAGATTGAAAATTATATTTTCACCATCTGAATTACATATAAAACCAGACACGCACTGCGCTTGTCTTGCTCACAACGAAGTTATGGTGCTCACAACGAGGATTAAAGCAAAAAAGGGTATATCTTCGTTTCTATGAAGACTTTCAGGTAATAATTTACGCTGAAGACTTGTGGGCATCTGTTACAGGTTAGAATGCACAAAAACTTTACCAGAATCGACGTTTTCAATGTTAAATTTGGTCTGGAGAGAAGTTGTCTCCAGTTTTCCAGCTTCCCCGAGTGCCTGCACATGGTATTTCCATCAAATTGTCTACCAACAGGAAATATCTTTACATGTGCATACTCGGAAAACACATCGCTAGCTAACTGCATTCCGATTTTTTTACATAATTGTCTGAAATCTTCAAAAATTATGAAAAACTCACCTTGTTTATCGTGTCACACGTCCTAGATGGGTGCTCACAACGAGGAACGGAAGTTGCTCACAACATTTTTACCGATGAACATTTTACACTCGTTGTGAGTTAAACGGGCGTGCGATATACAAAATTTAAGGGGAAAACTTTCAATTGTTATGTCAAAAAAAAGGAAAATGTATATAATGAACAGACACTTCAAGTTTTTTCTGTTATAAAATTAATATAAGATTCATTTTTATCTTGTGGTGTGAAAATTATAATACTTCACTCGTGGGTCCCGCCACTCATGAAATATTTATTTTCATACCACTCGCTTTATAGAAAAGAACTTGAGTTTCCACTATTAATTTAATATACAATAAATTCTTAAAATGATTTTTGGTAAATCACCAATGTAATATATTTGCAAGTTTCTTCAAAAGAGTCAATATCTCAACTTTAATTTCAAACGCTTGCGTTACAAATCTCAATATTCGTGTATAATTGATACTGTAAATGACTATTTAGGAAAATCTGGACTTGGTTTGCAATGTGTGCGATTCACAGACTATGACATTGAGAGCATCTGATTTTTAATTCTGGAGACGATTGTTTGATCCTCGGGCGAGGCGAAATTTCTCCATTAAAAACAGATATCAAACGTTGCATATGTAGCGATTTGAATTCAAATATGCAATGTTGTACACTAGAAAAAAACATATTTTTTTTGTTATATACCAATCAGAATTTGATCGGAACACCTCTGGCCTCATCTTCGTTACGCCAAGATTGTCACAAAGCACTCTTGCTAATGTTTTCGACTGTATTTGCTGTAGCTGAGCTGTAACATAAACAAAACATAATCAATTTAGTATATTTATGTAAAAAGGTGAACCATTAAGCCTCTCTTAGCCCATATTAGTTATCAAAAAATGACTTTTTATTTATTTTTTCATATTGTGCTGTTTATTTCTCTTTCGATAAAAGATGTTATTCAATGTTCCTAACAGATTGATGTATGATATTTAAAGGAACTACATCGAAGTCTGATAGATTAAAATCGTATAATTTAAAATTCTTGCACCGTTTAAATGGTGCTCATTAAACGGAACACTTTGCAATAGATAATTCGTAAATGTACTCGGTACTAAAGTAGTTATCTATGTTTTCGGGCTTTTAGGCAGATTCGCGCATTAAAATTGATTACCTCTGTGAAGTTGTGTGAATAAATAATCTGAAATGTTGCACACGAATACCACTTACATACAGTTAAACACCAAAATCAACTATTTTCGGTCCGTTCATTAAAAAAAAACACAGTAGAGTCACTAATATTTTTTCACAAAAAAAAAGACATTTATACAATTTTCTTAGGTAGGTAGACCTGGTTTGAATTTGTGTGGACTTAACAACTTACCACCTGTAAAGCCAGTTGTTGGATTTTCATACCAGAACCTGTCCCCGTGCTTTAAATTAGCAAAATGCTTAGCTAAAAGACAGGTTTGTGTGGCACCGGAAATTGAGCCCGGTAGCTTCTTTTCTGTCATTATTCCCGTCCAAAGATCAACATCACGTACATCGCTGTAAAAAATGTAGCGTTTAAGGCATTTTCCTGTCAATGATATAATTATAAATAGTGAAATTACCTGTCTTGGCGTCTGAAAATTTAAAATAATCATAAGATATAATAATAATAATAAAAATGATAATAATTATAATAATAGTAATACAGCAATATCATTATTCTTGTCGCGTATTAATAAATAAATAAATAAATAAATAAATAAATAAATAAATAAATAAATAAATAAATAAATGAATAAATAACCATTAAATAAATAAATAAATAAATAAATAAATAAATAAATAAATAAATAAATAAATAAATAAATAAATAAATCAATAAATAAAATAAATAAATAAATAAATGATAATGAATGAATAAATAAATAAATAAATAAATAAATAAATAAATAAATAAATAAAATTCAGTAATCTTACAACCAACGAAATTAAATTTTCTTGGATCTTCATTTTGTTATTTCACCTATCTACGAAGATTCTTAAAATAGGTAGCCTATGAAAAATAATGATATTGTATTAAAACTGATACATACGCATACACCGATGCCATCTTATCTACATCCTCTTGTAGTGTTGTGTTTGAGAGATCACTCCAAGCCGTTGTATTTCCGAGCCCACACAATGCACGGTAAGACGTATATGTTGGCATGCCCCATTCTCTACCGCGCATGATGTTCAACGCAGCTAGATCGAAAGAGTTTCCGTCTTTATCCAAAAATAGCAGATTTCTTGTAGCATCATTCATTACCCTACATTAAAATACATTAGCAATATAATATGATATAATATGATATGAAATGAAATGAAATGGTATGATATGATATGATATCGATATGATACCGATATGAAATGACATGCCTTTAAATGATTTGATGTGTTATGATATCATACCACATGGCATTTCATGCAATGATATGATATGAAATGCAATGATATGATACATGTATGATATGATATCATTGATATGACAAGATATGAAATGACATGCCTTTAAATGGTTTGATGTGTTATGATACCACATCGCATTTCATGCAATGATATGATATGAAATGCAATGATATGATACATGTTTGATATGATATGATATCATTGATATGACAAGATATGAAATGACATAACATGCTATGATATGATATGATATTATATGACATGACATGATATTGAAATATATGACTTTGTTCCTTAGCAGACATTTTAAATACATGTATTTGATATAAAGTAAATGCAATGTCTATGACAAGACACAGGCGCAAAACCCGGGACCTCATACTACTTAAGTGCGTGTCCTCCTTCAATTAGAGAAATTCTCAAAAAAAAAAAAATACGGTCATTTTCAACTTTCAAGGAATTTGGCTCTATATGGCTATATGGTCATACCCGCTAGCCGCAATATACGTACTTAGATTTTTTTAAAGAATGAAAAAGTGGGTGCGAAAACCTTCCTCTAACGTTATGACATACATCTTATGACACATTCTGGGCAACTTGGCTCCTTTTCTATAATTTTGAACCAATGTCGACTGTAATGAATGTGGCTATGTCTTCAAAATCAAAGAAAGATTAAAGAAATACAAGGAACACCTGTACACTTAATTCATAGGAAAAGTGTGAATGTATAAATATTCCCATATCAAATTTTGCATCCATATTGTCCAAATCAACGGAATAGCAATTCTTTTTAATGCGTTTATTTAAGGTCGCCGCCGGAAAACCCATATGGGCGACCGTACACTCAAGTCGGGTCATCCTAGAGCGTCCCGCCGAGATTTTTCGTCGATTATTTTCCAGCTTTATTGGTGGAAGAAGACCCCAGGTGCCCCTCCGGGCATTATTTCAGGTACGAGCGGGCACCTGGGTAAAGCCACCATTCTTCCGTAAGCCAGCTGGATGGCTTCCTCACATGAAAGATTTCGACCCGAGTGAAGATCGAACCTACAGTGGTGAGGGACCTGTGATCTCAAGTCAGCGACTGTAACCAGTCGGCCACGGAGGCCCCTGGAATAGTAATAGTTCCCGCTAGTGTATTTATTAGAAGTTCAGCAAAATTGAGCCAATGATAACTCAAATATTGTATCATTTAAACATGCACTCTTACATGTATAAGACTTTTTATATACAGACTTTTTAGAGCTATTCATGTTAAAACTGTGGAAGTACTTATTTAGCCGGTTATGTCTTAAATCTGATTATGTATAAAATTATGTATCTTACCTATCGACATACGGGCATTTGCTCACCAAGAGTCCAAGAGCAATTTCATCGATTCCTTTATAGTTATCTCTGTTGACATAATTTGGCCTCATAATAACATTTTCTTGATTTTCCTCTTTAAAATTCACCACCGGTGTTTCCTCAGAAGCCACTTCCTCAGCCAAATGCAGCTTCGCAGGCATCAGTTGGTGATATCTTAAATGAAGATAATAGTGTACAAAAGCAGTATCTTTTGAACAATTAATACTGTGTATAATATCGGAAGAAGCTATAAATAGTCTCAATGGCATAACATATATACTAATGTTGTACGTCTTGATTCAATATTTTCTTCGATGAAATATACTATTTTCTAGAGCCAATCTTTGTTTCATAATCATTTGCTCTTTGTTTAAATCGTTCTAAACTTCAACATACAACTTCATTGCTGCATTTTCTTCTTTATCTAGCGCTCAATTGCCGAATTGACCGTTTGTCCCTTCTGGCTGAGTTTGTTTGTTTGTTTCATTTTACACCTTTTCCCAACAGTATTTAAGCCATATAGGCGGGTAGTTTCCTAACCATCGTTCCTGGAGTGTTACACCAGTACTAGACTACCTTCCTCCGCGCTAAACTCCCAAAGCATTGCCCGGCTATCGAACCCACGCGAGAGAGGTAACTGGATAAGAAGTCATCGACTCTAACCCCTCGACCACGACTGAGATGAGACATATTATCTAATGCATTTCTTTGTTTGACGAAGGACATTTCTACATACAAAATGGAATAACATTTACTCTCAATTGCAATTTCGCACGTCATAAGACCATAAGTATCACCTTTGTGAAAATTTATTGGCGTATTAAGAGTATGTTGTCTTGGGCATCATAAAATTAAACACTTATTTTAGACAAAAAGTACGAGTTATTATAAAAAGGGGAAAAAAGACGGAATCCCCAAAGAACGCTCAAATCGACAAAATTGAAAAGATTGCAGGCTTGGTTTGATTGATCCTTTTCATGGACGGTAGTGGAAAATGCAAGTTACCGTCCACGCCTCTTAGCACCGGCTTAAGCAGAACTCAACATTTAAACACGAAAGTGGTGACATTTTAATACAGAAACATGCACAGATGTGTTCATGTAAGTCTTCAGGTATTTTAAAAACCTGTTTTTAAATAATCGTATGGGATTCAGTCTGGAATACTTTGTTCTTTCAATTATGATCTTCCCACAGGCCTAAGGTTCATTATCTGCACGAACAAAAAATAACATTTAGATGCCTGACATGTGCAAATAATTGTTTGTTATTGTAAAAATATAATGAAATTAAAAAAAAGATAAAACACTCCTTACCGCCATTTTACAAACGATAGAAAAACGATATTAGTATTTGTATACATGGCATATTGTTACCTGTATGCCATTGAAAACGCCTGTGTCATCGACGCATCAATGGAAGAATTGTATGAGTAATTGGTGGCAACTCCATACGAGACCAGCTCCGATTGACGGAAAAGAACTGGTAACAATTCGCTATAAAAACAACAAGCAAAATAAAGAAAAATCTTTATAAAGATTATGAGATAAAACAATTATTATTATCAGGGCTACCATAACTGTTCTTGCATAAAAACTGCTCACGCATGTATTCATAAACGGGTAAGAAAACATGCATGACAAGCACGTCTCGTTTTTGCACGTTTTTAATATGCATAATTCAGGGCGCCACGCTATGCGGGCATGGCTTTTTAAGCAACACGCCTACGGATGCATGCCTATTTTCATTTTTTTGTAAATGTTTTTAAAAATTACAAAATTGTCCTGTAAAAGAAAACAAATACGCATTGCAAACGTCACATTCAATCCACATAAACTACCAAATGCAATAAATAGCCCTTACGGCTAAGTCACGTATTAGAAATATGACGATACATACTGTCATTGCAAATAAGATGTTAATCACTACTTGAATTGTAAATATTTTTTCTTTTCTTAACATCTTAACACATTTGTCACAAAATTGATTTTCTTGAAATCATTTGGCTCATCTGAAAGGTATACAGCTTTAAATGCGTTCTCGTGCTTCTGTAGATGTTGGCGCATAGATAAAAGTGCATACACCCTGTATTGCACTGCTATATTTTGATATCTTATATAAACAAATCAAGCAATTTATACATGTTTGGCTTGTTGTACATATCTTAATTCGCAAACAATCTTCGCGGATCTTTTTTTTCAAGTTTTTCCTTGCTTATATTCATAAAATGTTTCATGGTTTTATTTTCCATGTCGAGTCCCAAAATGATTGCATAAATTTGGTATTCAATGCGTTACGAATTGTTTATTAAACTAAAAATTCAGTCCTTTGTGTACTATGTTCTTTATCTTTTAAGCACACTTGTGTCTTCATCTGTATCGCTAAAATATGTATCCTAATATGAACGACAATTATATTTCTTTATGGGGGAAGTTTAACAATGTTTTATTTTGCTTTGTAAGTATTTTGGTCCATAACAAATTTGTCTTCTTATTTCTAACGTATTGTGTTAGCGTTTCTGCTCTTGATGATTTTTAAATCAATTTTCTTCTTTTGTTTTCGGTTTCCAAACTTAATAAACTACTGATTTCATCTCTCCTATACTGAATATTGGCTGGCATATTCAGTTCCCGTCTACTAATTGTGCTATTGTATCGTTTATATTAACTATTGTATTTCTGCGCATAACTTACCATTGGTTTTATTTTCTCTCTAAGATGTTGTTATTTAAATATATTCCTTCAATGTTGCGTGATATACAAACTGTACATGTACACGTTTAGCCTATTGTGGTACTTTGCAAGATGAGTTGCTCTCCTGTCTTTGTTACGATAGACAGGATGCCGATAATTTATAATAATAATAATATATGTTATACTCCTACATCATACATTTTAATACGAACATTACTTGAATACAGTTTGTTTCAAATAGTTTATTTCATATTGGATTGTAAACTTATCAATGTATATGAGTAATTTCCTATAGTGTACTTAAACTTCAAATGCTTTATAATGTACTCACTTATAAACAATACGTTGTATAAGTGCTCCTATTATTTTCCTCGTCTCCTGGTAAATTCTATCGTCACTCCATTCGGGTCTTATTTCGGCAAAAAGTGTTGCAATACGGTTATGCTCCCGCACAAATATTGTATGATAACTTGTCAGTCCTGGGTGAACGTTTGCTCTTGTGTCACCTACGTAATTAGATTATATTTAAACCCCAAAATAAAAAAAAATCTTGTTAAAGGTTAAATAAATTCCATAAAACTAAATTCAAACAATCATGCTATGTTTTGATATGATAACATGTTTTTCTAAATCAAGTCTTTTCTATAAAAAACTTGAAGTGAACAATTTCCCAAAACTGGACAAGCATCGCTTTTTTCGACGATTTCAACAATATATATTATAGGAAAAGTATAAGAAAATAACAATCTGTAATAAATGATTGTCAAACCATTTCTTACTAAAATATAATGTTTATTTGATTACTATTTTCCTTTGGTAATGCTGACATTTACATTAAGAAATCCATTCATATAATAATGTTGTGCGAACTGGCAATATAAGATGTTGTTGTTCTAAAGTTTTCTTACCTGCTTCATAGCAAAATTTATAATTCGGGTCAGTTGAATTGCACGGTAAGTCAGACGCATGAGAGGAGTTAGGCAGAAATCTGTTACTGCTTTCAGCCAACCAACCTGAAATGTCATTTCCAGAACAAACATGGTAATAAGGGATTTTCAATATATATCTATATGTATTCCTACACGTAATTTCTTTGTTTGATTCAGAGTTTAAAGGGATGCATATTTTCTTGACAGCCTGTTGAATGTTTTATTACGAAATTACAATAAAATTGTGTATTCTTCGGGACATTTTATATCGACATAAAATGAAACTAAAGAGTATGTGTTTGAGAACCACACTAATTAACGAATTCTGACATAAAGCGGACAAGGTGCTTGAATGATTAAATACTAAAATCTCGCCTTTATAATCGCTGATATACACGTAAAGTCGGCTAATTCATGTCTTTTTACACCAATTTATATTCGATTTTGATTGTAAAGTGGAGGAATCGCCGAAAAACGAGAAAGTTTACTTATGATCAAATCAGAGCAGAGGTATTGCTCAGTGTAAATAAATCCATTGAACAGACTGAAACCGGAGTTTAATAAAAGCTTTTTTTCTTTTCATTTCTTTTTTCGTGAAAGTTCAAATCATTACAATTCTGTTATCATATTAACAGAAATTTCCATCATCTTAGAATTTAAACGCCCATAAAATGTTTTTCATTAAGAAAGTTAAGGAAATGTCTATCAGACAGGTTTCTTATATTAATATAAAGTGCTACATCAGCTCTCTACATTGAAAGCAACGTAAGAAAGAACACGGTGATAACAAACTAAAAACCTTAATCGATACCTGCAAGACTAAGTACAAAAAATAACTTACATCAATCATGATGATTAACTGTTAACAACAAATTTGCAAATATTTTATGTGTAATAGAATCGATTAATTAGAATTTGCCTCAAATGTTCGCATATGCGTACAAACAGTTTGCTTGTGCAAATGTCTCAACATCTAGGGACAAGCTGGCACAGATCCATCACAACATTTTACTTTATGATAAGTATCAGCAAGATACCGGGACCGACGGACAAGAGCAGATCTTATATTCCCCCATCCAGGTAGCCGAGGCAATAAAAACAGGACTTACCACCAATTCCAGTTCTGAGCTGCTTCTCCTCAGCCACCGTAGATCCATAAACCATACTTGCATCAAGATAAGACGTAATCTCATTTATCTGGTTCTGGAACCCACTTTCTAGAAAAGTTCATTACAGTGGATAGGTCCACAATGCTCACATTTTTCATAATTAGTTTAAATATTAATAAAAAATACAGTAGAATCCTTTGGAAATCATTATGAATTGTTGCTTGAAAAATTGACGATTCAATTCTAAGTGTTGTACGTAGAATGAACATTTATATGATAAATGATAATATTTTGTTCTATAAAAATTTATTATCCGCTATATTAATACATGAACTATCCCATCATATTTTTTAGACTTTTCAACAACTTCAATGTATAATTCTGTCGCGTTTTAAATTATGTCAAATATCATCAGAGTAATTATTCATTGTATATGTTCTATAACAGGCCCTCCATTATAGACTTAATGAGCCGCGTCACGACAAAACCAACATAATGGCTTTGTGACAGCATGGATCCAGACCAGCCTGCGCATCCGCGCAGTCTGATCAGGATCCATGCTGTTCGCTTACCAACCGTTTTACAAGTAGAGAAACTGAAAGCGAGCTGCATGGATTCTGATCAGACTGTGCGGATGCGCAGGCTGGTCTGGATCCATGCTGGTCGCAAACGCATTATGTTGGTTTTGTCATGACGCGGCTCAAATGTTTCTTTAAAGTAATATTCTTTATTTAGCTTCATCACGTTAAATATCTTCTATGGACTTGATCATTTACCAATCATGACAAAAAATCTTATCAATTTTTAGGGCAAATTTTTAAATTTTATAATAAGTACTGACCGAGTGTCAAATACTGCAGAGTATTTTCCAACAGCACGAACGGTTAATTCTCTTGCGATATTAGGGGTTCAATAACATTGGGACATATGCATGCCTTTAACATGTGTTTAAACATTAAATACCTCGAACAATTGTGACAATGGCGTTTGTATTGATTTCCAAACAAATGTGGATACTTTTTTAAAAATGAAACCTTTTCTCCAATATCAAGAACTCTGAACAGCCAAGTAAATTGTGCATGCGACAAATCTATGATCAATTTTTGTACTTTGCTTTACTTCGCATAATTGTCAAACAAAATAAAAATGTTCATCTGCATAACAGCAACAAAATAGTTGAAATCTAAATATATACTTACTGTCGTTACAACGGAATAAGGTGAAACTTCTCCTCGAATCCATACAATAATCCGTTTTAAAATGACTCTCTGCAACCTCCGCTTTAATAGGCATACAAAATAATCTAAAATAACAAATCATATAATCCCACATCAGAATATGCAGTATTGTTACCTTTCAGTTTATTATAGCATTGAAATGAATTATTGCAAATATGTTTTTGTTTGAACGCCATTTGTATGTTCGGTATTGCCCAGACATTTGGTATAATATGAAAATATATGAAGAAAGAAAAAATATGATTATATCATACAATATTGGTAATATAGCTTTGTGTGATGTTTGCTTTAACTTTTTTGCAGATTTGTTAAATTATAGGACGCCATACTGGGTAAGGGAATTTGTTTGACCGAGATGATTAGCCGAATATTACAATAATGACATAAGTGCGAAGACTAATTAAGGTTTTCTGTATAAGATAGATACTTAATGTCAGCGTATGGTGCTGTAACAGATGCAGAGACCAGTCATTTAATATATATATTACAGCAAATTTTTTGTTCGAAGATTTTATAAAAGAATTAAAATCAGGTTTGTTCTGTTTCTTATTGAAATTGCAAATTAAAATCTACAATTCACCTTGGCCTGTCTACGTTTTCCTTGCAACAATCTCTTTTTGAAGACACGTGACCTGTAATGTGAAAATAGTGTGGTTAATTGTAAGCATGCTTTGTAACGCTTTTGTAATTGGTTAGTTATCTTTTGGTTGTTTAAATTGGTTTTTTGCAGAGAACCGTGTTCCCATATACTGTAAACAGGATCTCATAGCATGTTTATAACTTACAGACATATAACAATTAACGTGGATTGTTATAAAGTAATTACACAAATCCTTTTTATCAACCTTTGCACCCTCACCCCCACCCGCCTTAAAAAAAAGATTGTCTACATAATCATTAATTTTCAGATGATGTTTTTTTCAAATACAGCATATCGATAGACATTCACTTTGTTAAATAGAGAAAAATGGAACTTAATGAATGCCAAAAACGGGAAAAATTGAAATTTTGCAGGATCGGTTTGATTAAGCCTGTTAAAACTTAATACGCATATAGAATTTCCAATATTAATTACAAACCTTCGGGAGTTTTTGCCAAATCGTGATCTATAAACTGCATGAAATAAAATATAGCAAGGGAAATGTTATCGTCGTTGTCCGGCTTTGGTTGAGTCGTACTGCTGTGGACGACATTGCTGATGTTACGTGCAGACGGTAAACGTACGTCATTACGTGGGCGTCTCGTACTAGTAACGCTTAATTGACGTAAATGCCATTTTCCTGGAAAAGAAGCAAAGGGAATGTTAGAAATTGTTACGAATTAAAATATAGAATTTGCTGCTGTTTTCAACACAAGTGCTTAACATGCACGGGTATAGGTAGTATTAGTAAGAATATGACCTCTGAATTTGGTAGTCATTGTTCTCCTGAATTCACTAGGGATTAATACATATCAATGTATTTTAGGGAATTATTTGAAACTGTTATGATAAGTGCAAAAAGAAGGGAAATGTTCAATATTGACACAACGTACGTTTACACACAGAGTTTATGTACTGTTTCCTTAAACAAGATGTAGTTTTCATTGAATCATATCACTGTGATATCCACGTCGAAGGCATTTAACATGATACAAGAACGCATATTTTAGATACAGAATATCTTGTCTCTTTTATATAGCAGTATTAAGATTTAAGTTTCGCCTATTGTAAGTGAAATTTTATCCGCACAGTATGATCAGGATCCATGCTGTTCGTTATCAGTTTCTCTACTTGTTATAGGGTTTGTAAGCGAACAGCATGGATCCTGATCAGACGGCGCGGATAAGATTTCACTTACAATATTATTATGTTGGTTTTGTCATGACGCAGCTCATATAGTAACATATTACAACCATATTTGTTGGCATTATTAAGACATTCAAGAAAACAATAATTTGGTTAAGATGTTAGAAATATTTGAATTTAAAATATTGTCATGCATAGAATATCACAAGTACGCATACATTATCGACTTTTTATGCAAAAATTTGACAATAGAAGCAAGCTGCATTAAATAATAAGATAGATACGCGTGACATTCTTTCCCGCCAATAAAGTATAGTAATGCCTTATTATAAATGTGATAAAATAAGATGTCATTTTACCTATGCTAACGCTTAAAGTAACCGACGAGCATTAGGTCGAAAGTAGCGATAGAGCGCTTTATCGTATACAGAAAAAAAGTTTCTCTGTTGTTTACAAGGCGTGATTTAAACATTGATAAAGTGATATACAAACCATTGTGATAGGTATCTGGTAATAATCTCCGGTGTTGAACATATGTCATTCCCCATGTATAATTGTTCCGATTATTGCATATGCCATCTATGGTTCTAAACTCAATGTTGTCTACAAAAGTTCTATTGTCCGCCTTACTGCAGTCAATAGTAATACCGCACGACGGATCGTCCTTTGCACTTCCTGCAGTCAATCGAACGTTGACTTCTCTTAGCAAATCTGAGTCTTCACCAGCAACTCTGCCGTTGATGAAAAAGAATAATCAGATTTATGTAGAATGTAAGGTATAGTTTTTCAGTTCATTTTTTATCACCGTCAGAATAGCTATTAATGTAATAAATATTACCTCGATTAATAACGTTTTTATTAATTTTATTACAAACACATACCATGCATGTGTTGAACCGTGCTTAAGAATTTTTGCCTGAAGTAATCGTGAATGTCTGAGTTTTTGAACATTTAAAGAATCTATTGAGTTAGTGTTAGTCAACGACATCCTTGCCTTTAGTTATTGAAGCAGCAGTTTATATACAAGTTAGTGTTTTGGAATAATTTACATCGAACTTAAAAAGTACACTGTTTATAATCATTCTTCAAAATAATTTAGATCTTGATATGGCTTATGTATGATTGACATTGATAAAAAAATACAAAATAATCATGCTACTTTCGCCTGTGGGTAAAGTTCTATTTGTATACATGCAAAGCTCGAATACAGCTAAATTATCAATCGTTATGCGTCATTTAAGGTATAATCACACATGCCTTAAAACACGTTTAAAATAATCAAAGACTGTAAGGAGCTTTATTGATGTCAAAAGGCATGAAACAAAAGATCTTAAAGTCTTACAAAAACTAAGTGTAACAGTAGAGTTCCTTTAAGATCATAAGATAATATTCATTTTGAATATTCACTTTATTTTATCCTACTTACAGTAAACTTAAGGTCTCTAATTCTGCCTCTTCTCTAGCCTGTTCATCTAAAAGCTGTCTAATTCTTGCGCTTGGACGATTGAAGCTACGTAGTGCAGCTACAGCTGAGCCAGAGCCTGCTACGTCGGACTCTTTAACGTAGATAATATTTGACAGGTAAGGCAGCTTTAATGAATACATCTCACATCGGATGAGTTCTTAACAAATTAATGTTCCCAAAGCAAACAAAACAAAACCGCATAAAGAAGACAGACAACAGTGCCAATGAGGAGACCAGTGCCTTGTTGCAAAATGTACATGGATCATCTGCTAGAAAAGCTTTTGTCTCGGGTGATAGTATCTGCTTAAAAGTCTGGTTAGCAGAAAATGCTAATTGAGAAAAAGGTTATGATAATTATTGTTTACATATACTTCTTGTCTATTCATCTGCAAAAATACTTTTAGTACTCTCATGCATTAGGAATATATAATTCTCATCTTATCCTGGGGAGCAAACGTTTTTTTTATCGTTAAAGTTCAAGGTACTCTACCGCTCACAATAGAGTTACCAAAACATTGTGTTTATTATTGATAAATTTACAAAGTTTTAACTGTAAAAGAGTGTTAGTACCCCGGGTTAAGACGGTACAATCACACATTAACTGTAGCACCGAGCATCACTGTTAGATTAACCAGTTTTGTATCGTTATGAGAAGAAACTATAAACGTTGATAAGCATTTTAGCACCACGATTCTTAGTTATTGTGTTGTGGATATTGGATATTTTTTTATCAATTTCATTCGCATACTTAAATCTGTGTACAAGTTTTAAAAGGTTATATTTATACATAAAAAATTGTTTTATACATTTTAGCCACAGTTTAAAAAAATAAGTTCTAATCACCTTCTGCTTCCTTCTTTTCTATCATGTATGCGTCAGCAACTTCTCTAGCGACTTCAAGGTAGCTCTTCTCGGTGTCGGTATACGGAGGGTCGTTTGTGTTTTGTTGAATTGCTTTCGCGTGTTTACTTTCATCACGTCCTCTTGAGAATGTTTCGTGGTTAGAATCAATGTTCGGTGGGTCGTTTTGCCTTTCACTTTCTTCTACGGCTTCTGCGATCTCCCTGATAATATCTAGATATTTCTCATCCATTATGTTGTCGACACTTCCAGTGTTTGGTAAGCAGTCAATACCGGCGTAAAAGCCGCACAAAACAATGAAAAGTACACAGCGCATGTCTGAAAAATAAAACGATAAAGAAAACAAAAAAAAAAGAAGACTAATGTATCAATTATTATCTTTTATTCTGGCTAATCACTAAGTTAAACCTCCGGTTATCTTTAAACGTGTTTACGCAACTAGTATATATACGCTGTATTTGAACTACTTCAAATCATTATGTCACTCATAAGACGGCAATGTGCATATCTTATGTAGTAGATAATGGAAAATAATGCGTCATGATCTTCCTTAAAAACTTTAACATACTCTCTCTCTCTATCATCTATTCAAGAAAAGCTTTCCTTGATTCAATAATGATGCGTTTAAAGTTTTAAGTGATTACATAACGGATGATACAATGCTAGTGGTGAATATTAAAGAATTTATGAAATAAATAGATTAATGAACCATAAGGAATTTTGATGTATAAGATTTATTTGTTTCGTCTACAAAAGAATTAATTACCTTCGATATCTAATGAGCTGTTCAATGCCATTCGAAGTGAAATAGATTTACGAGCAGCATACAACATTCAATAATTAACATTTTTCTTTGCATGAGAATGACAGAGTGTTCTTAAGCTTTACGGCATTTGACTGATACATGTACCCAAAATAAAGCAGTTTTTTAAGTGTCGTTTATTTCTTCAGTATCTGGTATCTTAAATGTTAACAAACGAATCTGCAGTATCATTAATTCGTTACAAAGGTCCTTTTTATCTTGATTATCGTTGGCGGGTAATATGATATTTTAAATTGTACGTGACATGAATTAATAGAAGGTTTTTATTTCTTCGTTGCATGATTGTGTACAATGATTTTGTATAAAAGTATCTTTTTTATATTTTTTTTGTCGTATCAAAAAGAGGATAATGTAATAAGAATAGCTGTTTTAAAGCAGCACGCCTCCAGATTCATGTTAAATTTCATGAAAATTTTGAAAATGTATTTGACAGTAAAATATTGTGAGGTGAACAAATAAAGTTATCAACATATTGCAGTTGGCGCTTACAATCCATGCAAATAACCAAAAAGAGGTCAAAATGTGCAAAAAAAGCCCTTACTACTTAAGTAAAGCAGTAAAAATATGGTGATAAAATACTGCAAAATCAGTCTTAAATCGCAAATAACATTGATCTTGATTGTTTTTACCTTTCTTGAAATATTAGTACATTTTTCTCAATTTTCATTTTCTTGAAATATTTTGGCTCATCTGGAGGCGTGCAGCTTTAAACATATAGTCATTTAAACTTGATATCCAATTGCGATTACAAAATTGGATAAAATGACGTGATTGCTTTCTAAAGGTTATTTGAACCTCAGCATAAAATTGTTTTGGTGATATTTTTTCTACTTTTAAGGTGTCGACAACAGCCATACTGAACGACAGAAATATTCTTTATTTGGAACGATTAGAATTTATTCAAAATGATCTTCATTTTAACGCAAGTGAACATTTACCATTGCATTTGTTTAAATATATTTGTAAAATATACAGATCTCGTTTCAGTTTGTATCGGCAGTTCCACGTACCTGACTCGCTGACTTGATATCTTTTCTTTTTTTTGACAGACAAGTTTCAAGCTTTTGAAAATAAATGATTATGTTGCCACTGGTCGACATAGAGTTTAAGTTAGCTACATGTAAGAATAAAAAAGTTGTAGGTTTCTGAGCGTATCTGACAATGAGCTAACTTTATATCATAAATTTTTTATTGATGTTTTACAGAAAGCAAGTAGCATTAAAGCGGTTTATCAAACATATATGTCGAAACATATGAAATACATAATATGTTGTAGGGATGTTAAACTGAACATAATCAACTCAACCAAAACATTTAAGCATTTGACACCACTTTGTGTGACTATAAATTATTTTTTATATGCGTTACATGTTTTATTTGGTTGTTTTTTTTACGTATTTTAAGCCGTAAACACATAATGAGTAACTACATTTGGCTAATGAACCTTGAAGCAAAATATTGTTTATATTTGTAAAACAATTTCCAGTTGTTTTTTTTTGTTTAAGTTGTTTTTCGATTTCATCTGCGTGCATGTATTTTTCTTAAATGATATTATTATGATTGTTCCTGCATCAGAAAACATATAAAAGACATAATGTTTCGTAAAACAGAATTTGTTCTCAGTGTAGACCTTTGAAGAAGACTTTAATAAAAAATACATGGACATATTTTATTTAAGAAAAATTGATTTGATGATCTATGTCTTTTTTTTCGATTTCCCCTGATGCCATTTTCGTCTTAGCAGCAGAAAAAATGTATCAGCCAACAATTGTTTTTGACATTAGATATAGCAATTAGCACAAGTTACAATCAGAATTTTTTTTATGTTCACAAACACGCTTTACGTAACTATGACTAGGCGGGAAAAGCTGCATTAATTTGGTATGCATTCATGATAAAAGAAAAACACTAAATTGATCTTTGTAACGAATTTAAATTTATATTTATTAGAACACATCTATGAATATCAGATGTTGCAAGAATGATGCTATACGAGTACGATAAATTTCATCATTTTAATTTAATATATAAACTTAATCATCATTATTATCATTATCATTAACATCATTATTATCAATATTAATAACATCATCACTGATATAATTACTATTTTCAAAATAATTAATCCATATGCTAATGGTAATAATTACATGTACAACAACAAATATATAGTTAGGATATTGATTACCAAAATTTAATTTAGTAATTATAATATATACGTACTTTAGTAAGGATTATATATTTTATAATAAAATAATAAAAGAAAATATAAACGATAAATGAGATTAAATATTGAGATTTTAATCAAAATTGTAAATAAAAAACAAAACAAAATTTAAACAACTTAAAATAAGACAAAGGGATAAAAAAACTTTAAAATTATATTTTTCAATATAAAAGACCTACCTCTATCGACGAGATAAGCACGCCTTGGAAATGATGACTGAATAAAAAAAGTGATATCACTTATTATGCATTCTACCCAGCAATTATCACGCAGGTCACAGGTGGATGCCCTGTCTTAAAATAGACCAAAGTCTTCATTTCGCAAACAAGGCGTTCAGGATTGCGTGTTAGATATGTTTATATGATACGTGATACTAGTATTTTCGAAAAAAGTAAATTTTTTCTTCACATATCAATGACTTTCATCAAGTATCTGTGCAAATACACTTCAAATATAACAAATATCTACTTAAGTGCTTGTTGAAATTGCCAATAAATTTGTGTGATGTTTTTAACTATAAGGGGATAAAATTTGGAAGTGACGGAATCAGTTAATTTTGCATATCTAAGTTTGTACTTGTATTTGCTATTCCCTTAGTTTGACATGCCATCATTTGGAGTTCTAATGTTTTTTATAGCTTCTATGAGCAAGACATGCTCTCTCTGCTGCCCAGTCGTGACTATTCAGGTACGAAACAGGACGCAGGGGACGAGCTGCCTCGATATCTTTAGTTCATGCAGTCCATCAATGATGCTAAGCTGAGCTTCTTAAGCCGTTTTGGAGATTTGTTTTCCGTCATGTTACTATTCGTTTATTATTTACCCTATATAAAAACAGTGGAAAAAATTTGTTCATTGGCGCGCTTTTATTGTTAATAACAATGTGAATCCATATATAATACGCATGCCAAATCGATTATATGAATACTGGTTTGAACAAAGATGAACAAGCTTTGAATACCAATTTTACGCTTCAATGACGTCACAAACCATGATGAAGAAAATTCATTTGTGAACCTTCTTAATCCAATGAATGTTTGATAGTTCTCTCATAGTCTAGATGTATAAAAACTACCATATATCTCAAAAATTAACAAAGACTGCAACTTCAGTCACTCAATAATGTCGTCTGCGTAGGTGTTTGGTTAACTATTTGTAACTAAAGTGTTTTTTTTTTGTTTAACTCTCTGAAATATAATATGGATAATTTAAAACTGTTATTTCATCCTTGTCGTGTGAAGGTTTGAATGATGACTTAAATTAGGCTCATATGATACCATTTTGTATTTTGTTGAAACGTTCGAATCACACCATTCACCGTGAACTATATTGCCGCAGGTGGTTGAAGTTATAGTATAGCTATGTTATATTAATATAAAAGTCCCGGATGTTTTCATACTTATTTCAATTTCAAAGATAATATATATTTTGCGTCATTAAAAAAGCATTAATCAAAATTGTTAAAATAATTAGAAAGTAATGGTTAAAAGCATTCCCGTTTTATAGAAATATAAGGAATTGACAATTAATTATTTTTTAAGATTAAAAAAACGTAAATTTTACTTCGTAATTTTATGTAAAAAAAAACGAAAAAACAAAAAAAAACAAAAAAAAAAAAAAAAAAAAAAAAAAAAAAAAAACACAACAAAACACATTGAGAAAAAAGGTTATTTAGTCCTTGAATATATCCACGAATGTTTCGGTAACTTAAGGATAAAGTATTATGAATTTAAAGAATTTAAGAAAAACAGAAATTTATCGCACTATATGTTAAACATAACATTCGAGCATCGTATTTTAAAAGATGCGCTAAAAGAATACTTTATTGCATTTTCAATTTTTGTATGCAATCTTACAAATATAAATTATCTTCATTTTTAAATTTTTGTAGCAGACTTCAAAACACTTGACTCTGACCGCTTGGATACATTGGATGCGAAGAGGCTATCCGCTTAATTTACCAGAGGTCGTATTTTCTTCTCAGGGGTCCGCTTAAAGAAGCAACCGAGGTATTTCTCCTCTGCCAGTAATGCGAGAGAGTCGCAATGAGACCTTTACAATGCATGTTTTAAATCCAGCAAACAAAGAACTATATCAACATTCAATTTTACTAATCGACATGATGATTATTAATCATATTCAATAACATTATGTTTATAAAGATAAATACTTACCAATATAAACTTTATTACCATTTTTCAATATTTGATGTTGTCATTAAAGATAATTTGATACTCTTGATGCGTGCCATTTGACGTACTTGTATTTGCGACCTTTTGAACGTATTCTTTTTCAATAGCAGTACTAATATTATATATTTACAGTTTAACCCTTAGTCTTCTGACGACTACATATTCTGTGCCGACAGATCATGGTCTTTTCTTGTTTGTTTTTTTTGAAAAGGATGATAAATGGTATTTTCTAAAAAAAGAAAAAAAAAGAAAAAAGGCGGAATATTAAGAGAAGTAATGCAAATACATATATCTTCCTTAGGTAGTACTATTATTTCATTTAAAATGTGCTGTAATGTAGTTCTGTAATGATTTTTTAATGTATATAAACATACGTATTTGACTCCGCAAAAAACATTTTCTATGCATTATTGACATAATAGTTTCATAAGTCATTGTATCAAAAGAATAAAGTACTTTATTTTATTTTTTCTATATATTTAATTAGTATATGCAATATGCATAAATGACACCTTTAAAATTAATCCACTGGAACGTATATTTTATAACTAACAGCAATGTCACTGTAAAGTTAACAATAAGATAAGTTCAAACACATAACTAAATTGACTAAGTACGCATATTTGACGCTTCATGGTTTAATACTCTGTCAGGCAAAATAAACGTTTAACACTTCTTTTGATCGCTGATAAAGGTGCTTAATGCAAATGGATCCTACTTATAAACTTTCTTTTTTAACTTTAATTTTATACGTTTTCAGCCGGATGCAATATAATAGTAAGTGTATACGTTATAAAACGTTAAAAATGTAATAGAAACGCCCATAAATCACAGTAACAATGACAATGTTTTGGAAATTGCAATAAACATTTATGGTGAAAAAATTAAGTCACATCATTTTTGTTTGATAAAATATTTATACTCTATAGAGCGTAAATTGGATAAATATATTGTAAATTTCATAACTATAGTGGAATGTCAACTTAAATACAAACGTCAAGAAAAAAAACGGTTGTTTAATAAATAATTCAAATTTTAGTGTTTTTACGAACATGTTGTTAGATATTACGCGTATTAGACGGTAAGACGTCTTATAGACTTTGGCGCTATTACGTACGTATCATTTTACCGCGACGTGACGTTGACGTCACTTTTGTTAATCTACGGTAAGTATCTTCCCCATTGCCTCTAGTTTTTATTTCTTTGATTACCCCCCCCCCCCCTTCCCCTGGTCTCCTGTCCCCTTCCCCTTTATGTGCCTATTATTATTTTCTTTGAATTCCTAATCAGTTACAAATTATTTATCATTTAAGTTGATCTTGTTTATCATATTTTGTACATTTGATATTAGAGTTGAAAATACAGTTATTGAAATCAGATGTTCATATTGAGTTGTTTATGTCATCCCAACACATGTACCTCAGAAAAGATAGCACTTTTAATAGGTGTTACCTTCACCAATGTTTGTATTTACATGGATTCGTGTTGATATTACGCATGGATATGAGAAGAATGGGTGAAAATCACTAATCACATTGGCACACAAATCTACATCAAAATCAAAAGGCAAATGTTTAATTTAGACAATCGAAAGAATGAATAATATATAATCAATTTTAGTTAAACTTTTCACGATCTTAAAATGTGATCACAAACATTTTAATCGTTAAAGATATAAAAGGGTCAGCGACCACGTTTTCGAATCATGTAGAATTTTATATTCAAAGAAAACATAATGATTAGTTACTTTAAAAACATTTGTAATTAATATAGTTCATATGAATATTGCAGGTAATCTGGGTTTTATGTACATGCAAAACGCAATGTCACATGCTTTTCATTTACAAATATAAACTTTGATAAAGGTAATTCAAAAGACTGTGCCTTTTCCAAGTTTATTAACTCCGAGTATTTGATGATTATCTTTGAATTTGTACAAGTTTCCGACATTCTCTCGGGCTTATTGAATTTTAACTTTGGCTCTAAATTAGTACGTGGAAATTCAATTGCTAGCTAGTTTTTATTTTAACTTTTGTGTACACAATGATGTACACAATGATGTACTACTACTTAAGAAATAATATATCCCAAACAGTGATTTTATCGCTCAATAACATCACTGTTTGGAGTTTGGATGCGAGGAATTATATCACGAGGGCGTAGCCCGAGTGATATAATGATGCGCATCCGAACGACAAACAGTGATGTTATCAAGCGATAAAATCACTAATTTGGATATATTATTTCGATTCTAACACGACATCAACAAATAAATGTTGCCGTACTTGATAGCTAAGCAAAATTGCGCCTGATTTGTTTCCGTACTTATTTTCAGCGCGTCGGATTTTTAGTGGTTACGTCGCGTGTATAATGATTACGTCACATGTCTAAATATAGAACGTCAAACTGTGCATCTGTTGCATAATAACACACACTTTCTGTTCTTCTATGTTCAATAGGGAAAAATGCGGGTCGTGTTAGAATTTTGAATAACGTAATCGTAAGGTCAAAGAAGCTATTCGCGCATGTTTCTATCTGATGCCCACTTTTCATGATCTGTTTAATCGTGTGGGTGCTAGAATTTGCTTTTATGTATAGCACTAAATGGACAATTAGTTATCATATTGCAAAGAAACACAATCATTCGTAAGAAAGGGTTTTCTTTTTCATTTTTCAGCTACCTTTTCTATGATAAAGAATGATAAATTACAAAAATGTGATAAGTTCGAATCAAGGCACTCAAAGTACTGTAAACACTACATCATACATCAAATATCAACGTCTTGGGTCATTTCTTTTACATCTTTTTATAGAATAAAAACAAGTATGACAAAGAATTTTCGATATAATTATATATTTACTGAGTAAACGTAGGAATAAAATAGGAATGTACAACTACAAGAGTGAAAAAAAACCCATTTCAATAACACTTTGAAATGATGTTTATTTTAAAACAATCATGTGTGCATAGTGAATAGAAAATTTCACAAAATATATGTAATCAATATTAATAGATAAAATATGTGAATGGAAGATATAAAATTATATCTGAAATTGAAAACATCTGGTTTTTAAAAAAAGATACCAGTTTCAGACTAAAATATCAGTTTCATGATAAAACATACCAGTTTCGTGCTAGAATAACGTTTCATTGCTAAAATTTTAGTTTCATGCTGAAATATCAGTTTTATTCTTAATTATTTGTTTCGAATAAAACATCATAATTTTGTTGTCTTTCAACTGCAATTTTAAGCATGATTTCAGTTGATGAAAACTTGCCATTCCGACTACCAACCGCTTAAGTCCCAATCTCCGCCAGTCGCCGTACGTATCTCATCACAGCTTTTCCTGAAAAAAAAAAATCAATCAAGAATGTTGTGTTTAATTAAATGCGTGTTGCATGACACATGATTTGAGCCACGTCATGACAAAACCAACATAATGCGTTTGCGACAAGCATGGATCCAGACCAGCCTGCACATCTGCGCAGTCTGATCAGGCCCGGCTTTCACTAACGTTCTCAAAGTAAAAAACTCAGCTCAGATTTTGTTTTCTTTTAATGTACATTCATTCTTGATAAATCATTTTCATTAGCGATCAAATATTCACACATTTGCAATTGCTTTTTGTTGTTTTTTGTCATTGATTGTTTCTTGTTGTTGTTGTTCTTTTTAAATAAAACAAGAAAATATAGATCTTAATGTAATAAATATACAAAACGTTTCCCTGTTGCGTCATCTTACATCAAAACAGCAACTATATTAATATATACATGATATACCACGTACAAAAACGAACACACTATGCTATGTTTTAGTCATAGAAACCCATCAACAATGTTCACTAAGATAGCCGCTTATGTCTTGAGAAAAAAAAGAACAGTCTCAGTTGAGAAAATTCTCAAATGTTGAAAAAAAGTTTAGTGAAAGCCAACTTGAGATTTTTCTCAGGTGAGTAAGAATCTCAGTCAATACCGAGACAATCTTAAGTTGAGATATATCTCAGTTTGAGAACGTTAGTGAAAGCCGGGCCTGGACCCATGCTGTTCGCGATCAGTTTCTCTACTTGTTATAGGGTTTGTAAGCGAACAGCATGGATCCTGATAAGACTGCGCGTACGCGCAGGCTGGTCTGGATCCATGCTGGTCGCAAACCCATTATGTTGGTTTTGTCATGACACATGATTTATTTTTTAAAAGTTAGCTTTCAAACTCACAATTTTGATGATACATAGAAGTTACGTACATAATTAGAGACGCTACAACCATCATTCAGATACTGTTTTCGTTAACGGCTTTAATACTTGACGTTTACTTTGAAAAGCCAATGACACTCATCTATTCAGTATATGGACTAAATAGATTAATATATATGACGGTTTGAAAAAGAATTTTAAAGTGGCAATTAGACTTAATCAACAAGTATCGAATAACAATCGACATCAAATTTATAAGACAACGATAGTAATACAGTTTAACAGTACCAATTGAAACAGCGGAATATAGTTAATGTATAGCTTAATATTTTAATACCTATACATAAATCCCCAGCCATAACAAGTAATAACAAGTGCACCGCTAGGCGGAGCATTATATGCCCGAAAGTGTTTTTCTTTTTTTTATTAAGGATGAAGCATTTGTAAGACATTACATAAATTAAATAAAGAATTACCGCCTTCAAATAGCAATCCTCCTATAAAGTTTGAATAGTGTGGGCCAAATGGAACTTAATTTATGCTCTGGAAACTGTTTTCAGTTTTGAGGTAATAGCGTCCTTGAACTTTGACATTGTGACCCCAAAATCAATAGGGATCTTCTACCCAATATGGACAATCATCCTATGAATTTTGAACACTGTGGGCCTAATGAAACTTAAGTTATGCTCCGGAAACTGTTTTCATATTTAAGGCGATAGTGACCTTGACCTTTGACCTTGTGACCCCAAAATCAATAGGAGTCTTCTACCCAATATGTACAATCATCCTATGAAGTTTGAATATTGTGGGCCAAATGGAACTTAAGTTATGCTCCGGAAACCAAATTGCTAACGGACGGACGGACGGAGAGACAGAGACGGACGGCCGAACGCCAGGGGGTATAACATAATATAAAAACAGTTTCAAACATTTTTAAGGAAGCTTGAAGGAATATCTAAAATGTTGAGCAGTGATTTGGCTCATATGGAATTTTAAATACGACCTTTACTTAACGGTTTAGCTCATTAAAAGTAATGCTATTTGTTAAACAAATGGATTATAATTTTCAGTTTATTAAGATCCATACCAATCAGAATTCGTCCGGAACACCTCTGACCTCATCTTTGTAACGCCAAGGTTGTCACAGAGGATTCTAGCCAAAGTTTTGGTCTGTATTTGTGCTAACTTGTCTGTAATAAAAATATCTTTATACATATATGTATGTTATTTAGAATATACTTTAAGGATGAGATGTAATATTAGTTATATTATTATTATTATTAGAAATATAAGGGCTTTGTTATAACATCTTTAATCAGAGATCAAATATAAAGATTTGATCCTCGTTGAAATAAAAGTGGAATTTAAAGCTTTTATCTAGTGCTATTAAAAAATTGCCAAAAAGTAAGTCGACATATAAAGGTTAATATCCGTTACGCAAAGCTAATACAAAATGGTACGCCCTAAACAAACGTTTGTATAGTTAACTTAACTTGATACTAAACTAAAAGATTTGATATACACTGATTTATCACTCTTTAGTTAAGCTTACTCTTAATTATATCATTCTTTTCGTTATTCTGAGAAATAAAACTTCATTTGAGCCGCGTTATGAAAAACCCACATAATGGGTTTGCGACCAGCATGGATCCAGACCAGCCTGCGCATCCGCACAGTCTGACCAGGATCCATACTGTTCGCTATCAGTTTCCCTACTTGTTATAGGGTTTGTAAGCGAACAGCATGGATCCTGATCAGACTGCGCTGAAGCGCAGGCTGGTCTGGATCCATGCTGGTCGCAGACGCACTATGTTGGTTTTGTCATGACGCGGCTCATTTCATTTTAGTTATCAAGCTTTAAATATCCTGACAGTGAGTGTACATAAGTTATAATTAACAACTTGAACGGCCTTTAGTTTAATAAATATCAAGCTTTGACTAGCCAAAAGTGAAAAAGCTATGAAACACTTTAAGTTAAAGAGAAAAAAATGAAACTTTAAATTAAAGGACAAACATGCAAATTGCAATTCAATTTAACTTACTTTATTAACCTGAGCTAAGATTTATGTGGGTCTCTTCAATTTCTTTACTTAAGGTCAAATATTCAACTCTGGTATCCCTTTAGGAGCTGTGAAATCCAAAGCTCTGACCTACTTTAAGTGAAGGTAGTATGCATATCTGAATTTCCTTAAAGTTTACATTTTTCAGGTTTAGTTTAATTAAGGCGGCAATAAAACGTGCCACTTACCACCAGTGAAACCGAATTCAGCATTTTCATACCAGAACCTGTCCCCGTGCTTTAAATTGGCAAAGTGTTTGGCTACAAGACAGGTCTGCGTCGGGCCCGAAATGGAGCCAGTTAGCTTCTTTTCTGTTACAAATCCTGTCCACGGATCCACGTCACGTACATCGCTGCAAAAATATGTCACGAGTCTCTTAGTTAAACACGTTAATGGCTATACTTAATAAACTAAGTCCAATATGTTAAACTAACAAATTCTTACCTTTAATTCATTTGACAAACAAAGGCATACAGAACCATAGATTTAAATTTCCGAAGAGAGAAATATACTGTAGTAGTTTTTCAGAAATACTTCTGAATTAAAATATTTTGAATCCGTTACAAAAAACTTCGTATGCTTTGTTTCGCCCTGTATGTAGCTGTCTGTCTTTTAACAAAAAAGCTATGGGTTCTCATAAGAAACAAATTGTGATTTTTACACTAGAAAGGCTAAAACGACACTGAACTATTCACAAATCATTTTTCGCAATTATAAAGTAAAAGCTGATTAAATTTTTAGTTGTACTTGTCTAAGAAAAGCATGTTTGCAAACACACACAAATGTATCTTTTTTAAGTTATCACGAACAAAATAGATACATTCAGAAACCCTTAAGAAAATCCAACACGGCAAAATTGAACATGTTGCAGGCTCGGTTTGATTGAGCCTGTTCATGGACGGTACTGGAAAGTGCAAGTTACAGTCCACGACCCCTAGCACCGGCTTAAGCAGAATTCAACATTTAAACATGAAATAGTAAAATTTTGAATTAGAAACTTCCGCAGATGTTTTCATACCAAACCAAAGCAAAGAAAAAAAACATGCATACATACAAAAAAACCATTAATGACAAAAATAGGAATATACCACTTACGCATACACTGATGACATCTTATCTATGTCCTCTTGTTCGGTTGTACTTAAGAGATCACTCCATGCCGTTGCCGCTCCCAGTCCGCAATACTCGCGGTAAGACGTATATGTTGGCATGCCCCATTCCCTACCGCGCATGATGTTCAACGAAGCAAGATCGAACGAGTCTCCGTTTTCATCCAAAAATAGAAGATTTCGGGAAGCATCATTCATTATTCTGAATTTTAAAATGGATTGCTTTATACAATTATATGGCTTTATGATAAAATTATATAAATGTGATAAAATATAATTATATGCTATTGTAAATCAGGTTATAAAAATTTAAAATGTAAAGATTTCAAATGATACATGACATCGTCTGGTACGTCGGGAAAGCTGCAAGGTAATCTGAAACTGCATTAAACGGGAGGGCCATTAAGAACAAGAATAAATGAAAGAAAAAATGAAGCGGCACAATTTTATACAAACGGGCACACAGTTAGTGATTATTCGATAATGGATCATTCTAATGTATGATAAGTGATGACAAAGTGAGTCTTACCTACTAACATATGGGCATTCACTTTTTACAAATCCAAGAGCAAGTTCGTCGATTCCTTTATAATGGTCCTTGATAAGATAATGTGGTCTCTGAAACACGTTCTCTTGGTTAACCTCTTCAAAATTTGCTACTGGTGTCTCCTCAGAGCTCAATTCTTCAGCCAAATGCAACTTTGCAGGCATCAGATTGTGATATCTTAGAAGGAAATAAAGAAACATTTCAAAAGTCTGTCATGTATCACGTAGCCCTTGAATCTGCTATAACTAGAAGTTATTTACCTTTGACACAGTATTAAACACGGAAACATCTTTGTTGGCTGACTTATTTTGAATTTTCATTTCGCTATTCTCAAAACTGGTAATGAACACTATTAAAACAAAAAGAAGCTGGTAAAGTTAATAATACATTCGGCATGTGAAGCGGCAACATCTATGGTATTAAGATTGGTAAAAAGAAACACTGTAGAAGCAGAATGCTCGTTTTGTGGTGATAAGCTGTTAAATGTTATGTCAAAATTTCTTAAAATGGTAAAATTAACATATGAATGTCGAATACTACTTGAAGCTATTTTAAAATAGAAATACAATGTGCTATGGCTATCATTTCACCGGTATGCCGATTTTCCATTTACATCTAAATACATTTGAGTCTCTGATTTCAACTTGACATATTGTAGACGAAATGTTTCAGATGAAACCATATGTATATATCTCCTTTCATTCGTTCATAATGAAGATACATAATGTCTTCAAACAAAAAAAATTGCTTGTTTTCCTTTCCTTATTTTGCATTTTATTAGTTTTTCGGGGTGGAGGGGACGTTTATATTTTCCTTTTCCTAATTTTTTGAAAAGAACAATAATATTTCCCTTCAACCCCCGTGATTCAGAAACATACATTCATAATAAATGAATACGTTATTAAATAACTTTAAGAATATATGAACATATATCGTATATCAGAAATGATCTTAATATAAAAATCCACTTAAAACTATTATGAGATGTAACAAAGTATTGCCCGAAATTATGTTTATGTTTAGCCGGCTGCGAAAAAACTGAATGAGCAAAAAATTTACCCAGTCAAATACGTAAACCTCGTGCATGATACTACTGGCGACACCTCTCGGGAGAATATATCGGACAAATGGAAATTAATTTTCTACATTACATTACAACTTAGAAAATCACATTGAAACGGGGGATAATCACAGCCGAAAACATTTCAAATGGATTAAGCACAGTTCATGCCCATTAGCGCATGCTTTACCTTTTCTTTCAAATTCTGAAAATAATTATGTAGATACCGTGCAAGCAATTTTATTAGTCTGTTTTTACTGTATTATATATAACAAATGTTTTAAATTGGTTCGAATGTTAAATGTTGCAAACTGAGTACCGCTTAAGTCGGTGCTAGGGGGCTTCAGGGATGTTCCACTTTGTCATTATCTTTCATGTACAGACTCTATCAAACCGAGTCTGTATTTTTTCATGTAATTTTGTTGTGATTTATGCTTCCGATGGGTTCCCGCTTTTTCTAGACTTTTAAGTGATCCCGCGGTATGATATGTGTAGTGTGATCATGTCTTACTTTATAAATATAATAGTCAATTGTTAGTGTCAGATATATCATTCAATCTGATATAATGCTGTTAAAACCTGTAAAAAACTGGTCAGACAACTTTATTTCTTATCCTTATTGAACCAAAAGGAAATAGATTTTAGATTTTGTCATTAGTTTAGATCCAATCCAGCCTGTATAGACGTGCATTTGAGCAGTCGACTAACCTTATATTTTCACCGTGATATGCCCTCAATTGATAGTGGAAAGTTAAAAAATGGGGGGGAAAAATGAAGAAAAAAATGACGGTAAACAAGTCCATGGTCTCAAGGGCATTCCGACACAAAGCCCGCGTTCAAATAGTTAATTGAATCTATTGAAACAAATGTCTTTTTTTCCATTTTTATACAATTTAGTTATCAACTAGTTGCAAAATGTGAGATGACTTTTTATTACATGTGTCAGGCAAATTTAGTTGTGACATTCACTTCTTCGTGTCTGAAAGGGCATTCGATTGATTGTTTTTCCTAATGCATGTTATTAAGTCACTTTTTTCATTGGATATCATTATCAGGCTTTAAACAATTTATTACCACTTATCAATGCATATTGTTACACTGTATATGTATATGCTATTATATACCTATATGCCATTGAAAACGCCTGTGTCATGGATGAATCGATGGAAGAATCGTATGAGTAAGTACTGGAAACGCCATACAAATCTAACTCTGATTGACGGAAAAGTACTGGTAACATCTCGCTGAAAGAAACGAGTTAACAGTTTAAAAAAGGTATTATGTTTCAGATTTTGAAATTTAATGCATGTAATAAATATATGAAGACGTTGTATACATATTCCATCACCTAAGTAATTTATATTCAATTAGTTTTCAAAGGTGATTTACTAAGTTCTGTTTCTAGGTAATTACTGTCATTCAGAGTTGAATGTGGGTCCTTCTTATAAATCAATACTGCTTTCAGATTCTATATTTAACTCGTTATTCTCAAATGTATAAAAGTATACTAAGCTGAAATCAAATATTGGAAAGAAATTATAACTGCTACACAGTCTCTTTATAGATATAAAATAAACATGTTTTACTCCACACAAAGTAGATATGTTATGTTTTTAACTCTGTCACAATATGAATTTATAGTGTCAATAAAATAACTGGCAGCTGTTTTTAAAGAAAATACAAACTTTACTTGGACTGTAACAAGTAACGCAGCTTCCCATACATAGTTTATTCGTTGTTTATTAAAAAAAAATATAGCTATGTTCAGTAAGAATTGTATAGACTTTAAAAAAGTTCTTTGAGTAAAATATTTAAGTCAAGGATGAGCATACTGTAACCCAATTTATATTCGCGAATACAAATTTTCGCATTTTGCCGAGGTTGGACATATTCGCGAATATTAATTTCCGCGTTTTCTTGATTTCCCCAAAAAAAAATTTCGCGGATTGGAAAGTCCGATGGGGCAGTAAAATCCATTAGCCGACTATAAATTTTCAATAATTGAGGTCATTATTGGTGTCTTAAATGGGATTAACAATACGCTAGCCTTATATTGTATTGGTAAGTGAATTGTGATCACAATTCAGCAAAACATTTTCTCTATATATGTACATGTACGCAACGTTCGTCTTCATTTTATCTAGAAAAGTCTTTAAGAAATTCGATACTAGTATGAAACCATCTTGTATTTCACAGTTTGTAAATATGTACACCCAATACCCTTTTGTGATGCTCGATAGGTTTCTTAACAATTAACGCAAACAATTATTTTATAGGATCCAAAAACAATAGCCTTTTGTGATGCTCGATAGTTTTCCCACTATTGTCAAACGATTTATTCAAACATTTATTTTAAAATAATTGCGAGTACATTGTGTGCATTTACTTAGTATAGAAGTGTAAATATGAAGAATTTTAAAACTGACACATGCTCCGTATAGTACCCTATACGGAACGTGATTGACAATAGGTCTACTAGTATTTCATAAACGGTATTAAAATGTAGATGTTTATTTTGATTGCTATGTTGACATAGAGTTCTTTTGATATTTTTAAAATAGTAGTAGTTTACTTAGTTTGTGTTTTTATTGCTTTATGGCAATATTCATAACAATTCATTACTTCCTAGCAGGTGCCCGTAAAATTCGAATATATCCGGTCAAGTAGCTTTGCATAACCACGTCTAAAATAAAAAATTCTCTCCAATTTATTCGCGAAATTGTGCGGACTTATTCGCGCAAACAAATATTCACGCTTCGTGGCCATCCGCGAATAAAGCGAATATTAATTGGTCGCGAATATTCGTTGGGTTACAGTAGTATATCTTTAACATTGACTCACATGGTTTTCTTATTTGTCTTACTTTTCAATATGTTACATACTTATAAACAATACGTTGTATAAGTGCTCCTATTATTTTCCTCGTCTCCTGGTAAATTCTCTCATCAGTCCATGCGGGTCTTATTTCAGCAAGAAGTGTGGCAATACGGTTATGCTCCCGGACAAATATTGTATGATAACTCGTCAGTCCTGGATGAACGTTTGCTCTTGTGTCACCTATGTAATAAGACAAATACTAAATGATATAGCAACAATGTATTGGTTCCTTTTTAAGGTAAACTTTATTTATCTATAACCATAAAGCCTATACATGTTTATATATAAAAATATTTATTAAAAATGAAAGAATACAATTAGTACGACACAAACAAATCAAAGGGCATCATCTCGTCCTTTAAACGACAACTGACTTTCTTTACAAAATCTATAAATCTGGGTCATTGTTAACTGGACGTCTGGTATCAAAGCAGTAATAATCATAAAAAATATGTGTTATTCAAGAACCAAAACCTTAACTTCAATACTGAAAGCTATATTTGTTTCAATGGTGTACAATATCGGAGAAATTTTAATTATTTCACAGGTGAATAGAAAAGACAAGCATCCAAATTTTAGCATTTTACCTGTTTTGTAACAATATCTATAGTCCGGGTCTGTTACATTACACGGTAGATCAGACGCATCTGACGCATTTGGAAGGAATCTATTACTGCTCTCTAATAACCATCCTGCAAATATTATCTCAGTTAAAATAGGAACATAATATGACAGGTGACACAAATGGATAAATAGGCATTTTGAGACTACAGCAGAATAAAATTGAAAAAATATTAAGCACACATTCAAAAATGAAGACCAATAGGTTACTAATGTAACTTTTGCGCAAAATCTTTAAATTAATAAATAAATAAATACATAAATAAATACATAAAGAAAAAAACAATAAATAGATGAATAAATAACTAGAAAAATTCATAAATAAGAGCTGATAAATAAATAAATTACTGGACGATTAAATTTAATTAATAAATGAATAAAGAATAGAATAATTAAAAAAAACCAACAACAACCGATTCGTAACTATACATGTAGTGAATGAATTTTATAAACAAGTTAGCCTCTACAAAGGAGCTAATAGCCCTGCCGATATACATGTAGTTTGAAGTCTTCATTTTCTACAATATCTTTCAAAACTGATTAATTTCATCAAAAAATTTGAATGACGAAACCAGTTGGGACAAATACTATTGAAACTTTTCTTCAGGTAAATTTTCATAAGGAATCAATGTTAATAGGTAAAGTATGGACATATTTAGAACAGAAGAAGTGGCAGAAATTAAGACATAATTCCCTTGGTTTAAAAAAAATACGTAAATAAAGGAGAAAACAGGGCGAGGCATCGTTCACAAAACATAAATCTCGAATACTGCTTTAGCTAGTGCTAGGGGCGTGTATGGTAGCTTGCATTTAACAATACCGTCCATGAACAGGCATATTCCAACATCTTCAAGTTCTCTGTTTGAGCGTTTTTTAATAACTTTTCAAATTTTCTTTTTAATTTTAAAATTAAAGCGTACAAAATAGGGTTCAGTAGAAGAATTTGCATCTAACAAAAATATGATTTGCCTCAGTTTAATTTTATTACAAAAAACAGTTTGCATCCAATGGGTCAATACATATAACTACGGTTTTCATATGTTGTCAAAATACGCAAATATTGCTAACCTCCTGTCCACGTTCTTAAACTTTCCTCCTCTTCTAAGGTGGATCCATATACCATGCTGGCGTCAAGATATGACGTTACTGCATTTATCTGATTCTGGAACAGTGTGGCTAAAAAGCATGAAAATAATTTTTCTCTACACCTCACTTGTATTGTTTTGTATCGTTTGATTGTTGAGGACGTAAAATGACAGAAGTATTGTTTAATTTGTAGGTTTTTTTTATAGTTTTCTTATTTATTATGATTGTAAAGTGTTGCATAAATACGACCCGATAGCCAAATGGAAAGAAATCTTTAGAAAATACTTCTTATCCTATCTTTTATAATGGTTGAATTTTTTTATCCTTTACTCAATTTGTGTTAAGGATAAATGCTACGCATTCTTTTTAATTTATTACAATGAAGCCACTCTTGAAGTACAATTCCCAATACAATTTATGCTCATTTTCACTTTTACTTCTATGAAAAAAGTAAAACAGCAGAATCAATAAGTTCTCATTTAATTTTTTATCAGTTTTGTTTTGTTCTTTCTGTTTTCTTTTCCTTACTTGCAAAACATTATTTACCATCGTTACAACGGAATAAGGTAAAACTCCTTCTCGCATCCATACAATAATCCGATGCAAAATGACTCTCTTCAACCTCGGCTTTTATTGGAAGGCAGAAACCGCTTAAATAAACAACAAAAAACATGATTATACATTTTTTTGAAGTGGCGGCATGCTGCCCGAGTAATTAACCAAAGATTGTATAAATTATTTTTAAGAATTGCTGGCCGCGTATGTTCAAATTCCGTCAGGGGCAAGCCAATGTTTCCAAAAGCGAAAACATTGACATTTATTGCTAACTGTCGGTTGCTTCCAGGAACAGATTTGAGAGTGTATAATTAAGTATGTAGCGTCGTACACAATCAAACTTAATTAATCAGTATGTACAAATTAATGACATTGTCCAATGCTTAAGCATTAAACATTTCTAGGCTCTTGCATGTTGGGCTGACTCTTACAAAGTTTTTTTTTCTCAATCTATTACTTACCCTGGTCTGTCAACGTCTTCGTCACAGCAAATTCTGTTGTTTCCTACTTCACCTTTATAGTTACAAAATAGCAATAAATAATTGTTTTGTGCTAAACTGTTTGCTACTTTTAATAGTAATGCCATCATGTTTGTCTTCAATCACTTAATGTTATTTTGGATGTTATTTGAGGAAAGTTTTTAGGAAAAAAATAAGCACAAGTATCAAGCCAAGTGATTGACACTTTCGGTACCAAACTGCATAGGGTCGCAATTCAGATTGCAACGAAAGTCCGTCAGCCTTGCATATTTTACGTGCCTCTGGTTCGATCATAATTACAAAACTTCTCCAAGACAATTAATCAGGGACATGAAGTTTAATGATAATTTTATTTTAGAGCCAAATATCATGTTGGATTATAAGCCGATTACCAAAAATCAATACATTCTCGTTTAGTTATTGTCTATCTTGATATTCCGGTAAGGTGGACTGACTTCCCAAAATGTGTTCAAATCAGCGTAAAACTAGACAAACAAACGACAAGTCAATGAACTTAGGCATTTTAAAATATGTCAAACGAACTTACTAATTTAAAAATAAACAAACAAAGAACAAAATTACACAAAGTGCGTCGTACCTTCAGGAGTTTTTGCCAAATCGTGATCTATAAACTGCATAAAATAGAATAAAGCCAGGGAAATGTTATCGTCGTTGTCCGGCTTTGGTTGAGTCGTACTGCTGTGGACGATATTGCTGATGTGACGTGCAGACGGTAAACGTACGTCATTACGTGGTCTTCTCGTACTTGTAACGCTAAATTGACGTAAATGCCATTTATCTGAAGAAAAAAGGAAATAGCAATTTAGACATGGAAGATGCTATAATCATTACATTTGTTGTTCAGTAAATGTTCGAATTAACTAAATGATATATAACTTATTGTATCAAAGTTTATATTCTCACCGATTAAGACATGTTTTATTTGGATTTCGTTTTTAAAATTGTGAATAAATCTATATATGTAGCGGTGTGATTATTGCCGAATTAGTATACAAAATATATTATGCCACAGAGAGTCACCTTAAATACTAGTTAAAATATAACAGATGAACAGACATAGATGAAATGGACCTGTGGCCAAGTGGTTAAGGTGTCTGGTTAAAAACCAACCAAATGATTATGGTTATAATCCGAGTAATGGTAAGTTCATGAGGTGGACTCGAGACTAGTTTAAATTAAATTTCAAGTTTGCGTCAAAATCTAGCGAAAGTACAGAATTGTGTTTAAACTAACTTAGCAGAGAAAACTTGTAATTCTTCATACATTTAACATGTTCCCCTTGCGTTCAACAAGGAAAATCAAAGTTCACGGAACGAGGCACTCATCACCATAAAAATGAGAACACATAACTTTTAAGAACGCTCAAAACGACAAAATTGAAAATTGTACAGGCTCGGTTTGATTGAGTGTGTTCAGGGAATGTACATGAATGTGCAAGTAACCGTCCGCGCACTCGATCACCGACTTGATCAGAATTCAACATTTAAACATGAACATGGTGAAATTTTTAATTAAGAAATATCCGCAGATGTGTTCATACAGCGGTTATCATGGAACCTTCAATATGATACAGTAGTATTATTCTATGAAAGGAGGGTATGGTGTCTAAGTAAACGAAAGCCACAAAGCTGCCATTAAGCGATTTCCAATGATAAACAGCACATAAGCTGTAAACTTTTTGGATATTCTAATTAAAGTGTTAAAATAGCAAACAAACCGTCATTATAAGTATCATCTAACAATCGTCGGTGTTGAACGTAAGTCATTCCCCAAGTATAATTATTTTGATTGTTGCAAATTCCATCAATATTCCTAAACTCAATGGTGTCAACGAAAGTTCTGTTTGTTATGGCGCTGCAGTCAACTGCTATGTCACAAGACGGATCGGCTTGCGCATTTCTTGCAGTAAGATCTACGTCTACTTCTCTAAGAAGATCTTGATTTTCTCCAGTGGCCCTTTATTTCATAAAACATATTTTTCTAATTTCTCACAAAAAAAAATTAATTTGCAAATTCTCGCGAAAAAAATCATATAGTGACTTTTCCAAGTTTCCGAGTTGGAAGATAATTTCAACTTATTTTTATTTTTAGGACTTTGTACTTGCTTGTAGGTCGCAAGTTCGAATCCAATTCAAGACAGATACAATACACGCAAACAATTTCTTGTAAGGAAATTGTAATGTTCATTTGAAGTTAACATAGTTTCTCAACATTGTTATTGCTGTCAAACAGAAGAAAAAAATAACAACAGAAAAATACACCAAATCCCTACAGGACGCTCTAAACAGCAAAAATGACATTGTGCAGGCTCAATTTGATTAAACGTTTGCATAAGCCTATCGTGTTTGCATAATGTGATAGCCACTAAATCAAATCATAAAATCTTAAGTAAACGTAAAATTATATGAACATCTTCATATTTAACATTTTATTTCGGAATATTGTTGCATTACACGTCCGTTTTTTGTTTACAATATCTTCACTCATTTTAATGTGAGTTTGTAGATACTACAAATTATAGATCAGGGAAAGAAACTGCGCAATTAAATTCAAACTGATTTTCACAGGAAGCCGATGTGATTGAAAATTTGTGAATATAAGTATAAAATCATTGTACCATAAAGAATAATATTCTACTGAAACAACATCGATATAAAGAATAGTATATATTATATGCACTACACTTACAACAAAAGTAAGGTTTCAAGCTCCGCATTTCTCTTTTCTTGTTGTTCTATAAGCTTTCTTATTTTTGAGCTCGGCCGATTAAAGCTACGCAGTGCCTCTCTAGCTGTACCGGGGCCTTCAAAATGAGAACCTTAAAAGAAACAAATACTGACGTTTTGTTGGTCATAAACTTAACCTGTTAAATTTTTATCAAGTGTGTTCTATGAGCTGTTCATTATCAATATTAGGGACAGCTTGGTATTTTGAAGCTCGTCATGGATTTACAGCAACGACTGATTATATACTGCAGAGGATGTTATTACTTTTGTTTTGTGCCTAGTAATGGTTAATAAGACGGATCAGGCTGACTTAGTAAAAGTATTAGCCGAGTTATATCTTCATTCTTAAAGTACCAGCTTTTCAAGTAAGTTTCTAAACAGCAAAAACGTCATCTAGCTGGACAATCTTGTAATATCATAGTAAAGGGACAAAAAGAACAGTAAAGTTGATTACAATATTATTAAAACAATCGTCTCCCCACAAACGTACCTCAAAGTTGACGTATGCTATGGTTCAAGTAATATTAGAGTTAAAGTGACATTATGTCCATACTTTCATAGTCAATATGAGCTGAATTGACATTTTATTTCAAAAGAGTGACTGTTAAAATGGTGTTTGACCAACAGTTTACTTTGGAAAATGTTTTGGATAACATTTAAAATCTGTCTTAAATATCAAAAGACTGTCCTACTCCTTTTACAAACTAAACGTTTCAGACAAATTATAACTGAAAGGAATTATGGCAATATAAAAACTTATTTTGTCTTTTATCTGCTCACTCACTGTTTACCCTTAAATGTGCATAATGCCACTTTAATAATTTCTTTCATATTAAATTTTGATAGTGCAGATATGAACAACACAGCTGTCTACGACGTTACTCATACGTTATGATATATTTCTTTCTCCTGCTCATTCCATTTAATACTTGCTTTCATTCTTTCAAATATAATCAGAAAATGTCGCGGTCAATCGGTCTAATGTTTTCAAACCCAAGTCACCATAAATTTTAACAATTTAATGAGACACTATATCAATTAAATTTAATAAATATGTTCGGAATAAGATATCATTAATTTGTTGATACCATTAACTTATTCAACTTTAAAGTAGGTGTAAGCAAAGATCAAAACATTTAAGGCGACAAAATCTTTTTACCAAATACATTGTATTGACCAGATATGCACAACAAATAATTGTATGATTTTTAAATTGGTTAATGGTAATTGGTAAATGTCATAAAAATTGACCGTCATGCAGTTTTTAAAGACACTACAAAAAATGCTGAGGGCATGTTTTATTATGCGCAAACGCCTCGATATTTTACTTAAAGCGCTTGAATATTAAGCACTGGTTAACGTAGCAGTACAACCTTAAAAATCAATTGAATATATTGTGACAAAAAAGAATAAAAACATGACTGTATTTTATTTATAATGAATTTTTAAAATCATCGAAAAATATCTCGACATTCGAAGCCGTAAAATGTGAATAGGAAATGAAGACAATACAAAAATCCCATTATAGCAAATTTATAACATGGTTAATAAACATTTCCCTGTTATTTTTACGTTAAAACATCACTTTCTAAATTACTAATTGATTGTTATAACAACACTTTTTTATTTTATTTATAATAATTTCTACAAACCTTGGCTCTTGGTCTTTCTATCTTCCATGAACGCATCCGCAACTTTTCTTGCTACTTCAATATAGCTCTTCTCGACGTTGGCATATGGGGGATCATTCGTGTCTTGTTGAATGGCTTTCGATTGCTTACTGTTTACCCTTGTGGCTGAGCCATGATTTGAGTGGATGTTAGCGGGACGATTGTGTCTCTTGCTCTCTTCCAAAGCGTCTTCAATCTCCCTGATTAGATCTAGATGATTCCCATCGCTTTTGCTGTCATATACAGCCTTTGGTAAGCATTCAACTGTGGCGTATATGCCACATAGGGCTATGACAAGTATACAAAACCGCATGCCTGTAAAAAAGTGGCAGTGTACGGTGAAATATACATATGAACGTAAAAATTCTAACAATAATTTGTCAGTCATTATTTTCTTATGTAATACATGTAATAATAAACACGGTATTACATTAAGAGTTACTACATCGACAACAACATTAAGAATTATGATTTTATATATCAATCAATGTTCTACTATTTGTACTATTTGTAGGCAATTAGAATATTAAACCGTTCTTATAAAGATTGTATCTTCCGCAAGTGAATAATTTTTTTTTCAAGAGCATGTGTTTCAGAACAAAGAACATAAAGTAAATTGCATAAATTTATTATCATTGTCTATGTTTGGCTATTTTTTTTTACTGGTGCAAATTTGCAGTATTAGTTCTATATTAGGTGACACAAAACTGGTTTTTGTTTTCAGTTGTGTACATAATTCGCTCATATACCCCTTACATTGTATATTCCACAAAAAACTTGTACTGGTGTCGTATTAGATAACATACTGTCTTGATCTTAATAAGTCTAAAAACCACTACTCTTCGCCATATAAATTGCAAATCCTTGAATATGACTTGAACCAAAGCAATACCAGAACAGGGTAAGTTTTCAATAAAGAAAAACATGTGTATACGCGACCAAGCTCATCGGTTAATAATTGAACTTGACAAATAGAAATATAAATAAAATTGAAACATTTTAGGTCGACTGTGTACCCGATATGAACTTTTGAAACAATTTTGATTTTAATTTCACAGGCCGGTGAATGCGGTATAATAACCTTTATAGAAATAAATTGCTTGCACTTATTTTCATCATGATTTATGTCTTAGATAGGATGTTTGGATATTATAAATAGATGAAACAACCATTTACTGACGTCTTTTTTTGCTTTTTTTAAATCCAAAACTCGGTTCAACCTAGCTTAAAATTACTTACAAAACATTTCGTATTCTATGATATAGATGCAATTAATGAAATTTATGAGATAAAACTTTTAGGGCACAAAGCTCGATTGAAATTTTACACCTTTTCCTCTTATAACTAAGAAAAGGCTGAACTGATTTTGAAGTATTTGATTTAAAGTAACAATTTGTTTCGCTATTTGGGAGTAAATATAAACATCAGTATAAATGAAAAGATTCATGTGTTTCTATATACTATTTAGAGAAGGCTCAAAGAGAAGGTGCCTTTAGAGCGCCGACTTTCCTTGTTGATCTTGTTTATCATTTAAGAATATTTGACTGGTGTTTCTTGAAAATTATTGGCATATACACGCTTCATCATCGTCGGTTACCCACGGTATATATTTCGTTCATACAACAGTATCTAGATTACATAGTATGTAAGAAATATTTACAATTGGTAACCGACGATGACTTATTTTATAAGGTTAATATATCTTGTTCACTATTAAACGTCTGCAAAAGCGCGAAGCACAAATTTTAGCCAAAGTCCCAAGAGCTCAAATTAAAACAATGCAGATGTTTATTCACGATATAAATGTACATTATAACTCTACGTGCATGTATACGTAGAACTAGCCTAATTCGGTATAAAGAAAGCGATTTGGAATATAAATGTTATGTTCTAGGTCGAAAAACTACCGGACCGTCATTGCAGTAAGCTATTTTTCTTGGTACACTACATGCACTATGTCACGCGTATCATAACGTGCGTCAACGGCGCGTAGTCTCGTGCTTTCATCCCGAAATTAATGTTTTCTTCACCTTTAATGTATACTTACGTGTGTAATTTTAAAAAAATACCTATTTATAACTTACAAAGTTACAATTTTATGCATCAATATATGCATCATATAACGTTTATGCTCCTTACGTATTAGTCAAACAAAACTGAAACATGCTAGATTTGTAAACTAAATGGGTAATTATCATATTGATTCACGAGTTAAAAATAAAGATTACAAACCGTTTAATATCAGGATGACTAGTTATTCCGAATTGTTATTATTAATAATAATAATTATAATAATAATAATAATTATATTTATAATAATGAAAAATTTAATGATAATGATAAAAGTATTAATGATAGAACAAAAATAATAATATGATGATAACGATGATGATGATGATGATGATGATGATAATAATAATAGTAATAATAATAATAATAATAATAATAATAATAATAATAATAATAATAATAATAATGATAATAATATAATTATGAAATAATAATAACTATAATAAAAGATAACAACAACGAGGACAACAAACAACAAAAACACAAACAATAAATGATTATCAGAATTAAAATAAGTACAGTGTATTATAAAATAATATAAAATAAAAATAATAAGAATAACGAATATAATAATTAAATATTAGTAATATTGATAATTATTTATTTTACTGATAACTATCAATTGAAAATAGTTTAATTTTTAAATCGAAATCAAATTCAAATGTGAAAAACTTACCTTTACGACAGTGTCTCTTAATCGAAAGAATAATGAATCCGTTTTCTACAAATTTTGTATTTTTATATACACTACCCGTCAAACGTCACGCGGGTCATAGTTGACTGGTTCGTTTAAAATATCGCAAATTGTTTGGTTTTGCATACGTACGAAAGCGTAAAAGGATTATGCCGGATATCGTGACAACAAGACAATAGAGAATATTTAACAAGTTAGCACGAGAACGTTAGAAAAGAAAAATAAACTGTTTACGAGATAATAAAAACATGTTACCTTGTGGTATAAAAAGTTAACTAGAAAGTTAAAAAGATACAATAGTTACCATGAAATTATAAATAGAGAAAAACGCTTAAAATTAACCCGTAGTCGCGCAAAAATATACCAAAACCAAACAAACAAACCAATCAAGCGAACAAGCCCGTGCCCTTGAGAAAATTAAGAAAGAGTTAACCACGTCGCCCTCCGTACTTCCATATATAAATTACCTCAATCAATTCTTGAAGAATCTAAAGGAATGCATGACATTAGCGTAACTGTTTCAATTATTTACGATATTTTAACCCTTAACCTTCCGAATATATGTCATGGATTGACGCACGGCTGACCGGACTCTATACTGGTAGCAAATGGCTCCTCACTTCCGATTTCCAGTCAAGAGGGTAACAGTTTCAAGACAGAATAACTCCAATATGTGTTAGTTATTAGTAGTGCTTAATCGATGAATATGCGGGGGGGGGGGGGAACTACTAGGGTACGTAGGGGCTCTGAATCTTAAAACGAAGAATGATATTGTCGTCAAATTTTCGTCAGTTTTCTGAAATGGATCTTGAGCAATTCCTATAGTTTAACTATAGGTAGACGGTTGATATAAAAACTTTTAGATTAATATAAAACAGATTTTACGTAAAATTGTGTTTACACAAAGAAAGTTTGTATATTTTGATAAAGCATGATAATGATAATCTTTAATTTAATTATTTCACGAATCGATTATAAAATCAAACGCGTAGGTGTTTTTACACCATGGGCATGGCAATACTATATATCTTGTATTATTTCCAAATTTATTCCTACCCTTTTTTCGTGACTAGTTTTGAACACATAATCAAAGTTGTTTCAAATGACATCAATTTATGTTTTGATTTTATCAGTGTGTGACACTTAAATCAACGCATCTAGTAATAATATTTGAAAAGTACTTTGAAATACTTGTTAAGAGAAATGTGAGAAGAATCTTGCACCAAAAGTCACGATTCGTATTTATCTTTTAATTTTCTTTACTTTTTTATATAAATTTAAAGTGAACATATATAAACGTTTTGCGTCAGCAAAAATTTGCTTTCAATAACAAACGTGATTCATGATATTTGTTTTGAACCATTTTTAAAGTAGTACGTGGGCGAAAGTATACAGGGTTTGTAAAAAAGCATCATTAAATTCAATTGGTATATTTTGTCACTAAGTCTAGATAATAGCGTAAAATGATCAGCGTGAAATGGTCATGATAGCCGTATACAGTGTCAAATGTTATATAAAAGATTAAAGCATACCATTAAAATTGGTAAGAGAGGGGATATATTAATGTCTTGACAAGGAAATTTAGACTAACTGTGACCAAGGTCATATTTTTGTACATTATTATTATTATTATTATTCGTTTATTTCAGTCTCTTTCTCACATTTACAAATACAGTACATAAAAAAACATATACATTTAAAATACATGTAAGTCCAATCAACTGAGATTTATAAGAGACATATGTAACTATTATCACATATAATTTGTTTATTTACATATAAAACATATAAGAACTAGTATACTCTTGTTAATCTTATTTATTTTTAAAATCCTATGAAAGAGAAGTAAAAGAAAAGAGAATATACTCCACACTACAAAATGGTTGTAAAATAATGATAATATGTTTGATTTAATGAAACATATTTAGAAATTAGATTAACAAGTGTATTCTAGCAGTTGAGTAAAAACAGTTTAACCCAGGATAAAACCAAAATTGATTTATAGGATTAAAAAAAAACAACTATTTTTACATCTTATTTACTTAAAAACAAATGTCTACGTTGTAATATCAGAAAGATATTTGTATGTGGTACAAATAGGGATTACCTACGAAACGGTCTCGTGTGTTACAGGATCTAAGAAAAAAAAAGAAAAAGAAAACGATCTGATCTAAATAAATTATCGAACAACACCAACAAATATGCTTTCATAATAACAGTTTTCTCTTTTACATCTATGACTAAATTTAGAAGTGGTAGAAACACCCATAGATGAAATAATATGTCTCAAAAAATGTGGTTATTAATCGAAAAGAATATGTGATGGAGGTTTGGGAATGTTTAATATAAATGTCTTATAAGTTGTTATTGAACACTATTTTCAACACTAAAATGAGTAAATTATTATAAAATTTTGCAAATTTATTCCATGCAATAAGAAGAATTAAAAAAATAATAATATCCTAGCAGGACTTGAACCTACTCGCAATGTAAACTCTGTATCCTCAGTATAAATAAATACCCCACCATTTGAAAGTCAACTAGAAAAAAACAATTTGTTCATCAATCTTTACGACCACTAAAGAGGCAGACAATCTTGCACATCTATGAAATTTGATTAGGCAATAAATAATCATACTATTTAAAATTCACTTTTAGTAGTTTGATTCGGAAATGCCTAAAATATAAAACCAAGCCCTGTTTTTCTTTTCACAGGAAAAACAACATCATTCACGATAAATATTTTTAGTACTAACTAAGATGACAGTCACAAAATACCTGCTAGAAACATTCTCAGACTGGTATATATATTTACAGGACAATATTTCAATAAACCTAAAGCTTGCTGAATGCATTTGAATATTTATTTTTGCCACCAGTGCAGACAAAATCCAACCTGTACACCCGTATCGTCTAATCAGGATTTCCACTGTCCCTGTTTTAAGTTTTTAAATTCTTCTGTTTAACGCCGCACGCAGATTCATGATACTTTCATGAAAATTTGAAAATCTATGTAAGAATACAATCTTGTGAAATTACCAAAATAATGCAATTTACACATTATCAATGGCACTTACATGTACAACCCATGTAACTAACCATAAAGAGGCAAAAATAAAGCAAAAATAGCCCTTACTGCGTTAGTAATGCGAAATAAAGTTATTTATTATATACTTAAAAATGAAATATTGAGAAATATTGATGAAATAAAATGCGTATTTTCATTTTCCGTATTTTTACTGTAAAAATTTATTTTTCACTGCAGTGAATCATTTTTTCCGTATTTTCACTGGTGTGATGCCGGACTACTTTTTTTAAAATTCTGCCAGTACACAAAATTTCCAGGAAAGTCTTTCAAATTTTAATGTCAAAAAGGAGAAAATCGTATATTATAAACAGAAAATTCAAGTTCTTTCTATAAATACATGATTTATTTTCATCTTGTGGCATGAAAATTACCATATTTCACCCGTGGCTACTGCCACTCATGAAATATTTATTTTCATACCACTCGATGAAAATAAATCATGTATTTATAGAAAAAACTTGAATATCCTCTATATATACTGAAAAATCGGTCATAAATCGCATATTACATGTAAATAATTACTAGAATTTTGAATCTTTATACTTTTCCTAAAATCTTGGTACATTTTTCTCAGGTTTGATTTTATCGAAATATTTTTGCTCATCTGGAGGCGAGCAGCTTTAATTGATAAATGCTTTTGGCAAAGTTGATAAAAGAATACGAACTTTTAAGGTATTTAGTGAAGCTAGTTTTAAAGTATGGATATTTTCTTCATGATTTTTATATGCTTAACAGAGTATAAACATACCCGATTTTGATAAGAACGTATATGCGACCTCTTGACCGTAAATGTCAAGGTTAAGTAAAAACTGTTATTGGTTTAAATGTAAATGTTGATATAGTGACACGCAGATCGGTATCCTGAAATAATTAAATAAGTATGGACGTCAATAGATATAAATATTTCCATTGAATGACTTTATGTTTTTTTCTCACATGCTTATGTTATACAGCCACGCGGGTTTCAACTAACAATAACATATATTTAAGATTTAAATTTGTTTATATCCACCCACACGGATATGACCTCTATGCAAACCACGCGACAAGCTAATGCTGCTCTGACAAAAGATATATTAGCCGGGAGCATTTTCAGCTTATGTGTCTTATCAAAATATATGAAATGAAATAAACAAGATATGATTAGTTCAATGAAACATGAAGACGCAATATATAATGTTACGTCCTTGGATATTCAATTCATGATAAATTCTATATATCCATATCTTAGATTTAAAAAAAAACTCCAGATATTTTGGTGGTTAGTTTATTAAAAAAAAGCGTGAGAGTTTTGCATTATACGAAATTTGTCTTTTTTTTTATAAAATATGTTTCATAAGTTACCGCATAAATTATTATAATAAAAACAAAAATTAGTTTATCATACAAATAGTATTAAAATGAGTCAATACAAAGCGCGTTATTGCACATACAATGTGTGTTTACATGTCAAGATAAAATTAGGCAAAGCAAATGTACGTAAATATCAGTCACCAGCCACATCTGCAGCAATTATACATTCAACAAATATCCGGGTTGTCTATAGAAAGGAAAGGGGAAAAATCAAAGAAACACACGAAAAAAAATCAAGAAAATAAAAGTAAAACTAATTAAACAAATAAACGAAAACAAATAAAAAATGCTGGGCTGTCGGGATTAAATAAAAAAATTGGTTTGTGCCTTTTCGAATGCACGCATACATTAAATGAGAAGAAAACGCATATTTTCGGATTTAATAACGCGACCTCGCGTAGTTGTTCCAAAATCAGACGTATATTTTACTTATGCACTTCTTTCGTGCAATAACATCGGCAAAAGCACTCGGAATTCTAGCGAACATTGCCAGCTTCAAATGTATCAATGTGCTGCTGCAGATTTAATGCATGAAAAAAGGTGCATTAACCCTCTATTTTTATTCACAGCACTATTAAAGGCGTTATATGAGCCGCGTCATGACAAAACCAACATAATGGGTTTGCGACCAGCATATATCAAGACCAGCCTGCACATCCGCGCAGTCTGATTAGGATTCATGTTGTTCGCTATA